CTGTGGGTACAATTATTACCACAGATGCTTCCCTGTGCAGTTGAGGAGCCACGTGTAAAGGGAGAACTGTCAGTGGTTTATGCAGTTCACAGCTGTGAGTATGTCACACAAACTATCTGGAACTTCGGGCCATATGGCTTGCCCTGTGTCCCTTTCTGCCCCTTATAAGGGGATAGCATGTGTAAGTCAAGGTGGACAACACCCCCATGGTGGCATATGTCAACAAACGGGGGCACTGTGCTCCCAACACCTGCACTCGTTGGCACACAATGTGATATTATGGGCCGGCTGTCACCTATTGTCGTGGAGAGTCGCACATGATCCAGGCCTCATGAACCGAGTGAACCTGCTCTCTTGGGGCAACCCTCACTACAAAGATTGTAAAGTTCACAGCGGGGTTGTGAACCGGATATGAGAGACATATGGCAGGGCAGAGGTGGAGCTATTTGTGTCACAAGAGGACACGCAGTATCACCTATTTCACTCTCTGGTGGATCAGAGTACCCCATTGGGTCTGGAATCATTGGAACATGAGTGGCCAAATGTCCTCCTATACACATTTCCCCAATTACAGCTGATCTCACTGGCCTGTAATACACTGGATAGCGGAGATATTCTAGCTATTATGCAGTCGCCCATGGCCTCTGTGCAGGGATCTGGTGTCACAGTGTGGGTTTGGCCCCTAAGAGGTTAAGTCTATCCTCTACCGACAATGACATTACCACCATCCAAAGCGCCAGAGATTCTTAAGGGTGCATGAAGCCTCAAACCAGTCTGGAAGAGCCTGATTGCTCCATGGGATTTGACAAGAGTGCTGAATGCCCTGACTCTCCCACCATTCAAGCCACTACATCAAATGGAGCTGAAATGGCTCTCCTTTAAGACAGTGTTTTTGCTGTTGGCTTTGGTGTCTGCAAAGTGCGTAAATAACATGCATGTCTGTCAACGTGTCACGCTTGCAGTTTTTGAGAAGGAATTCTAAGGTCTACTAAAACCTAACCCTGCCTTCATGCCAAAAGTCTTTAACCCGACTTTGTCATGCCTCTCCATTAAGGTGTCTGCGTTTTCTCCTCTGTCCAATTCAGAGAAGCATCAGCAGCTCCATGCCCTCTGTATACTAAACAGTGTTTGTTTCACTGGATAAGAGAAGCTATAACCGTGGCTTATGACAGCAGTGGGCTTCAGCCCCCTGCGGGTCTGCACACTCTGTCCACTCATAGCTGGATGCATGGCTGCATCTTGGGCAATGTTCCGGGGCACCTCGGTGGAGGAGATCTGTGCAGCGGTAATCTGGGCTACGCCTCACACCTTTGCCAGATTTTATAGACTGGATGTCACGTCACTGAGCCCTCACTATCTCAGAATGTTCTGAGCGTGGGAGCGCCGCCCCAGGTGGTGCCTCACCCCCAATTCACACCAAAGCGCAACGGCGCGTGAGCGCAGCAGCACAGCACACGAGCAGCAGACGCGCTGCTTTAGAACTCCATTTTAACTGGTCTGACAGTGTTACACCGACAGTGTCATACGCGCGTCCAACGAGCGTCTGACGCTGACGCGCTGCTCGAGATAGGTTGGAGTTCTAATTTTAGAGCGTCAACGGCGCGTCTCCAAGGTTTTTAGCAGGGGAAAGAAAGGAAATAAAAACGCGGTGTCAAAATAAACTTCCGATACCCTTTTAAAATAATTTTACCAAAGTCAAGACAGCGATGTAAACAACGCGCACGTGATTTACGATGTCAGACACCAATTCTATAAGGACTCAGGACTAAACCCAGGACTAAACCCAGGACTAACCCAGGACTAACCCAGGACTAACCCAGGACCAGGACTCACTGTCGAAATGTGCTCGCACGTCCTTCCGTGTAGCCCCGAGTGTCCGCGGGCGAAAGGACCGGTGCAGAGCTTGGAGAAGAGGTACGTGCAGCTGTCGCGCTTTTGGAACACCTGCTCCGTGGGGCTCAGGGTTCGCTATCGCTCTCGCTCTCTCCAAGATTAGACCTGGTTTAGACCTGATTTAGTCCGGGTTTAGACCGGGTTTAGACCTGGTTTAGACCTGAATTAGTCCTGAAACGCCCTTAAAATTCCAGAACGTTAAAACTTGCCCGTTTCAGCGACTATTTTCCCTTATCCATCGGTGCAGGACTCTGTATCAACATGTAAACGTATCGGCCTTATTACCTGGAAGGACATATGATTTTAATCACACTCATAATGTATGTTATTTATAGGTGATATTGCGGAGTATGTATCCCAATGCTTATCCCACACGCCGCGGCAGGCTAAGACACGGGGTAAAACACTGTGGACGCGAAACTCGGAACAAATACACATATACACGGTACTTGTTCGTAATGGTAGGCATATCGTTAGAGCACTTACTTTAAAGCTGCTGCCGTCCGTAGCCATGCACCGATTCCTTCTATGCGCAAATCTTTCCTGTTAAAATACGGTCAACAGAAAGTTGCTCCCCATGCTCACCCCGCCGCCATGATCCAAGGCCTTACACTCAACAGGTGAGCGCGCTCATATATAGGCCACACCACACCCACCGTGCCACCCCCAACCACTGCAGTGTAGTGCACAGAGTTAAAGCGCGTGCACATTAGTCACATAGAAAACCCACGAATGGCTCCTACAGGTGATTTTACCTTATTAAGGAAAAAAAAACTGAGGTGTTTAATGTGCGTGCTAATAGATTTAAACCTCATTAAACGCAAATGCGTTGCAGTTGTACACTTAATTCATAATACACTTAATATACATTCTAACTTAATACACTTTAACATAAAATAAATGATAAAAAGCAAGTACAAAATGTGATGTCTGAAACAGTGAGAAGATGTGCAGGCTGCGTAGCAAGCGTCTCTGACGCTCTGGTGTGAATTGAAACTTTGAAATTTACGCGTACGCGCAGCTCCGCCTACGTTAAAGGTTGTATAGAGGATTTTCCAAGGAACGAGAAATCCAGCGACTGTTTGTCCTTTTTCAAATGTTGCGCATGCGTGAAACCACCCCCCTCCCCTACAGCTCCCTACGTAGAAACGCCTTCTCCGCCTCCTCACTACGCCAGAAACAGGTTTGTTTACAGCCGGTGAGCTGCACATGACTTGTAAACAACTAACTACAGTGTTGGTTAGGCAAGGCGGAGAAGTGAGGAGCGGGGGGAGCGGGTGTGCGGACATTTCGTTCGCGGACGAGAAGTGAGGAGCAGGGAGAAGAGCGGAGCAGGGAGAGAGGAGAGAGGAGAGAGGGAGGGGAGCGGTGCGCGGAGATTCCGTGCCCGTAGAAGTGAGGAGAAGGGGGAAGAGCGGAACGGGCAGCGGGGACAGGAGTAGGAAAGGGGAGCAGAGAAGGTTGCGCGGAGATTCAGTGCGAATGAACTAGCTACAACACGCAGCAGCAAGCGGACTCTTTCTTTGCCTTGAAAATTACGTTTTCAGACATAGGATATCGCTTTCGTGTCCTGAAAAACGTTTGACTAGCTCTTGGAAATAAAGTACGTTTTCATAATAAGCAGAAGTTACCTGTCCAGGAGTAATTTGGCGACCAATGCGTCAGTCTTTAGACCCTGCGTCTGCTTCAGTCGCGCCATCGCTGGAATGAATCTACAAGAATCACCTTAGTTTGGCTTCGCTGCTTTTCCCCTTGTCTTCTTCTTTCAGCGACCTCAAAAACGGACTTTCTTTTGCGGCTAACTGCTCCTGGATTCTTGTCTGCCATTGCAACAAACTTTGTGCTAACTGCGAGGAAGATATAGGTCAAAAAAAAGCCGCTAAGAACTGTTGCATTGGTGGAGTAAACAGCGTCTGTGCGTCTTGCGTCTGTGGACTGCGTGACAGGCGTACGTAAACCACGTACCGGCGGCGCGCAGGCAGGTCAGTTACGCTAGAAACGTAGGGAGTTTGATTGATAGCCTGTCAGCTAACAGATAACGAGGCCGTGTCGTTATCTATTGGCAAATGTTTAGCTGGCCCCACCACGTCCAGAGTTGATGAATTTTTATTCTCTTTTTTTTGGTCATCATAATTACAAGGCTACTGCACCTCTATAATGCTATCATTGACAACTTGAAACAAAAAAACAAAAAAAAAAATCCTCCATACAACCTTTTAAGCGCTGCTGCAGCTCCTGGTGTGAATTCGGGGTCAGTGATTGGTCTTAGTTTAAGCTTGTCTGGCAATACGGGAGTTTCTACATCCCATATGTGAGATACCGAAACGAAAGAGGGCTTTAGGTTAAGAAATTATCCCAGATTTTCTGAAACATGAGTGTGGTATCTCACCAGACCGCCCTCCTTTAAGACAGTGAAAATCCAGTACAACGTATTTATCTGTTCCAAAAGCGGCAAATGAGATTTTTTCCTAGATTACAATTACATTTTTAGTATTTTATTCATATTGCTCAGATCCATAAAATTATTACACACTCCAGGTCACAAAATTTGACAAATAACATTTTATATTAAAGCAACATAGCGTAACTTTCTGGAGGTGGCACTTTACCTGCATCCATGTAAATTTATAGTTAAAACCACATTTTGGAACATTCTCCATGGGGGTAATTATGTTTTATGTCATACAGCGGAATAGCGAGGAGAAAATTCAGTTTATCGACCAGACAAAAGTTAGTTTGGTTGAAGACGTTTCGCAGCTCATCCAAGCTGCTTCTTCAGTTCTAGTCAGAATGCTGGTGGATATAAGGAAGTTATAAGGAAGTGTCCACCAGCATTCTGACTAGAACTGAAGAGGATTCTACCTGGATGACTGAGGGATTCTTCACACATACTGTGGAATATTATAGCCAAAGGAACAACATTTCCATGGAAACAACAAAAGGATGTCTTCCAGGCAAAAGGTTTGAGGAGATTTTAAAGATTTTTTTTTTGTTTGTATTTTTGAAAAGTTACACAGTGGGGCTTTGAAAATGTAGATACATTTGATATGAAACAAATTCACATAAATTTAAAATGGCTGTAAAAACTGGATGGACTTCTGTCTCACCTTGAAGTATGTGTTCCCAACATTGATTGTATTTAGCGGCCCGGGCAGATCCTTGTGCCCAAGGTAGGCCAGTGAGAAGCTAGCATAGCCTCTGGATGCTAACAAAGCCGAGCGGTACTCCACCAAACCTCCACCCATCCCCCAAAGATCTAAAATGGCCGGGAATGGACCAGGACCTGCAAAAATGCATACAGTGATTTATCATTTAATAAACTGTGATTTTTGGCATATTGCATACAGCTGAAGTAGTTATAGTAGTAAATGTACTCCAGTATACGTACTACGTAAACTGTATATATGGTGTTTTAATGGCATTTTTAACTTTTCCTAGTCATTCCTAGCAATTTAGTGTAACCTGGGTATAAACTCGCAACTTTCTGGTTCAGCCTGGAATGTTTCATTGCACGGCATACGGCACAGAGCACTTCGAAGGACATGCGGGCCCGTTCACACAAGAAAACATGCTATTAAAGGTATTTCTGTGACAGAATGCGCTCCTGCTGGGTCAAACAGACCCGAAATTGTGTTTTTTCCTTCATTTAAAGCCCTCCCGCTTTCCTGGTGGGTCAAACAGACCCAAAATTGTGTTTTTTCCTTCATTTAAAACCCTACTGCTCTCCTGCTGGCTCAAACAAATCCCAAATTGTTTTTTTTTTTTTTAATTTAATCACTCCTTGGGCCTGTGTACAACAGCTGTGTTTCATTTTATTGCATGCACTACTGACTGCATACAGCAGGGGGCAATATTTTTTATTTTAATAAAGTGTCTATTAAATGAAGGAAAAAAAAAATATTTCGGGTTTGTTTGACCCACCAGGAGAGTGTGAGGGTTAATTGTGTGCTGCCTCCAGAAACACCTGGCTTCAGGGGCAGAGTGTGGATAAGTGTTAGCAGTATTGGGCAGTAACTAGTTACAAAGTAGGGGAATACTGTAATCTCATAGATTTTTTAGTAATGTGGCCATGTTATAGTTTAAAATTGAGTAATTAGATTACAGTTACTTGGCCCAGTAACTTTTAGTTACCTTTTCCCTGCTAAAAATGTGTGTAATTCATAGAAGTGTGTTATAAAACAGATGAACAGGAGCTTATTTTGATTATTAATCAAATAAACTATTCAGGCTTATGTATGCAATCTTCATTTTACTGCTGATGACATTTACTTCAGTGGGTTTTATCACAGTCGTTAGGCAAGCCCAGTGTCAGTAACTACACTGAAAGTTGTAATCGCATCTTTCCACACGTCTTCCTGGTTTGTGACGTAAGGGTGAATAGAGCCTATTACTTTTGAAACAAAGTAATCAGATTAGTACAAAAAAGAGAAAACAGTGACTGCATCACTGGATCAAATAAATATTAGGCAGGTGTTCTTCAAGGATCCAGGATAGATTAAAAAGAAATAGAAGGAGATCTTCTACGTGGTCTTCTTAGTGACTTCCCTTTATGTCTGCCCCCTTGCATTCCTAAATAAAGAAGACCAGTTCCTTCCTAAATAAAGAACTTTTATCATAAATCAGAGTGCCTATGATCTCCTTCTATTTCTTTCTAATCAGTAGTTTTTATGTGATTATTCTTGGCATGAGTAGTCCATAGTCAGTAACCAGACCTTCCCCCTGGTTACTTTGAATCTGTGTAAAAATAGGACTTGTGTCTGATCACCTGGGGGTAGGAATAAGGTCCCTACGAGTCCATTTTGTCGGATCTCGATCCTCTTAACCCCTGGAGCCATGTACCAGCGCTCAGTGGAGATGGAGGCCAGCTCTGTGTGCTCTGCTCCCCGGTGACCTAGAGAAACGTGGCCCTCCAAAACAGACACTTTAAACACATAGGGAGTGTGCATGTTCCTCTTTCTCAACCTGTGGACAAACCATAGATTGTATAAGTGAAGTGGAAAAAGTGAGTGTGACGTCATAGCCCACAGCATTTGACTGCAACCAAATAAAGTTTATTGAGGCTGGCAGTTACAGTGGCAACCAGGGCTCGCAGGAAGCACTTTGTGCCCATGCTCACATCCTGTTTGTCAGTCAATATAGTCTAAGAGGCAAACAGAAGAACACCACCACTATTAAAGGTGCACTGTGTAACAATTCTAACTCTGAGTGAGGTTCCCTCTCTGGAGATCTGACCTGTAATTTACCCTGATGGCAGTACCTGCTTGTCCCGATGGAGATAACTTTAATACTGTGGAACATTCTAGTCAAAATTAAAATATCTCCATGGAGATAAGAAGGCGATGTATGTTCAGTGCATATTTACAAGAAAATAATATTTTTTGAAGATAATATTCAAATCATATTTTTGCATCCATCCATCCATTTTCTTCCGCTTATCCAGGGTCGGGTCGCGGGGGCAACAGTCTGAGGAGGGACTCCCAGACTTCCCTCTCCACACACACATCCTCCAGCTCTTCCAGGGGGATCCCGAGACGTTCCCATGCCAGCCAAGAGACATAGTCCCTCCAGCATGTCCTGGGTCTTCCCGGGGCCTCCTCCCGGTGGGACGTGCCCGGAACACCTCCCGAGGGAGGCGTCCAGGAGGCATCCGAAACAGATGCCCGAGCCACCTCAACTGGCTCCTCTCAACATGGAGGAGCAGCGGCTCTATTCCGAGCTCCTCCCGTGTGACTGAGCTCCTCACCCTATCTCTAAGGGAGCGCCCAGCCACCCTGCGGAGGAAACTCATTTCGAGCGCTTGTATCCGCGATCTTGTCCTTTTCGGTCCTTACCCAAAGCTCATGACCATAGGTGAGAGTAGGAACGTAGATTGACCGGTAAATGGAGAGTTTCACCTTTCGACTCAGCTCTCTCTTCACCACAACAGTCCTATACAAGGACTGCATCACTGCCGACGCTGCACCGATCCGCCTGTCAATCTCACGCTCCATCCTTCCTTCAGCCTGACGGCATCCCTTACTTCCGGTGTCCACCACTGGGTTTGGGGATTGCCGCCGCGACAGGCACCACAGACCTTATGCCCACAGCTACGAGCGGCCGCATTGACAATAGAGGATGAGAACATAGCCCACTTGGACTCCATGTCCCCAGCCTCCCCCGGAATCTGGGAGAAGCACTCCTGGAGGTGTGACTTGAAGATCCCTCTGACAGAGGGCTCTGCCAGACGTTCCCAACAGACCCTCACAATACGCTTGGGCCTGCCAGGTCCCTCCGACTTCCTCCTCTGCCAGCGGATCCAACTCATAACCAGGTGGTGATCAGTTGACAGCTCAGCCTCTCTCTTCACCCAAGTGTCCAAGACACGCGGCCGGAGGTCAGATGACACGACTACAAAGTCAATCATCGACCTCCGGCCTAGGGTGTCCTGGTGCCACATGCACTGATGGACACCCTTGTGCTTGAACATGGGGTTTGTTATGGACAAACTGTGACTAGCACAGAAGTCCAATAATAAAAGACCGCTCGGGTTCAGATCAGGGAGGCCGTTCCTCCCGATCACCCCTCTCCAGGTGTCACTGGCGTTGCCCACGTGGGCGTTGAAGTCCCCCAGTAGAACAACGGAGTCCCCAGTCGGTGCACTGTCTAGTACCCCTCCCAGGGACTCCAAGAAGGCCAGGTACTCTGCACTGCTGTTCGGCCCGTAGGCCGACACAACAGTGAGAGACCTGTCCCCAACCCGAAGGCACAGGGACATGACCCTCTCGTTCACCGGAGTGAACTCCAACACTTGGTGGCTGAGCTGTGGGGCTATAAGCAAGCCCACACCAGCTCGCTGCCGCTCCCTGTGGGCAACGCCAGAGAAATGGAGGGTCCAACCCCCTTCAAGGAGTTGGGTACCAGAGCCCAAGCTGTGCATAGAAGTGAGCCCGACTATATCTAGCCGGTATCTCTCAACGTCCCGCATAAGCTTGGGCTCCTTCCCCCCCAGCGAGGTGACATTCCACGTCACCACAGCCAGATGCTGTGTGTGCGGAGCAGGCCGTCCAGACACCCGTCCCCGACCGCCGCCCAGTCCTCTGTGGACCCAACCCCTATGAACCCCTCTGCGGGTGGTGAGCCCACAGGAGGGTGGACCCACGTTGTCCTTTCGGGCTGAGCCCGGCCAGGCCCCGTGGGCAACGGCCCGGCCACCAGGCACTCGCATTCGAGCCCCAACCCCAGGCCTGGCTCCAGGGTGGGGCCCCGGCTGCGCCATACCGGGCGACGTAACGGTCCTCGATATTGAACTATTCATATGAGTTCTGTGAACTGCTCTCAGTCTGCCTGTTAGTCTGACCTGTTTGCCATGGGAGACCCTACCAGGGGCGTGATGCCCCAGGCAACATAGCTCCTAGGATCATTCGGGTACACAAACTCCCCCACCACAGTAAGGTGGCAGTTCGGGGGGAGCATATTTTTGCAATCTTTCAGAAATATCTTTATTATTTTTGTTTGTATGACCAAAATGTGCCTGGTATTTAGCACAAAACATGACAATTGGGCTTAGAGCTAGTAGTTAAAGCATATACTAGTATAGTAGTTTCCTCTGGTTCATTATGGATGCTCTTGTTGACTCCAGTATCCATGGTTACAGCAGGTTAATGCTGTAGCCATGGGTTTTCTTCACCTGCCTTAGTCCCTCTCTCTCTCCTGGAGCCGGCTCCAGACTCCAGAACAGCCCCATTGGTTCACAGCCAACGAACGAGCCCCCGACTGAAGAATGTGTGCACACTAAAGAGAAAGAGACAGAGAAGAAGGAAGTCAAACATATCTGATCACATCAGAGTCAAAGTCACCACATACAATTTTTTTAATTATATATAAGTTAAATTGAAATGGAAATTACAGAGACATTTACAGACATCCCGTCCTTGAAACGTCACCTTATCGTGGTGGAGGGGTTTGAGTGCCCGAATGATACCAGGAGCTTCATGGCCACCCAAGGCAAACAGGTCCGGGGGCCGGGTCAGATTAAGAACGGTTCAGAAGCCCCCTATATTGAGTGCACCAACGAGGTTAGATACGTCGCCCGGACTGGGGTCACCGAGGCCCCACCCTGGAGACAGGCCTGGGGTGGGTGCTCAACGCGCCTGGTGGCCGGCCCGTCCCCCACAGGCACAGTCCGAAGGAGTGATGTGGCGCCGCCCTTCCGTGGGCCCACCACCTGCGGGAGTCGAAGGCGGGGACCTCAACGACCGGATCTCTAGACATGGAGACTAGCTCTGGGGGCATGGAATGTCACCACGTTGGGGGGGAAGGAGCCTGTGCTTGTGCAGGAGGTTGAGCGCTATCGACTAGACATATTCGACCTCACCTCCATGCACAGTTTGGGCTCTGGAACCCAACTCCCAACTCCTTGAGAGGGGCTGGACTTTCTATTTCTCTGGAATTGGAGCTGGTGCTGGTGTGGGCCTGCTCATTGCCCCACAGCTCAGCCGCTGTGTGTTGGAGTTCACCCCGGTGAACAAGAGGGTCGCGTCCCTGCACCTTCGGGTCAGGGACAGGTCTCTCATGGTGGTGTCGGCCTACAGGCCCGAACAGCAGTGCAGAGTACCCTGGGAGGGGTAATAGACAGTGCACCGACCGGGGACTCCGTTGTTCTACTGAGAGACTTCAACGCCCATGTGGGCAACGACAGTGACACTTGGAGAGGGGTGATTGGAAGGTACGGCCTCCCTGATCTGAACCTGAGCGGTGTTCTGTTGTTGAACTTCTGTGCTAGTTATGGTTTGTCCATAACGAACACCATGTTCGAGCACAAGGGTGTCCATCAGTGCATGTGGCACTAGGCTCCTAGGCTGGCTCCTAGGCTGGAGGTCGATGATCGACTTTATAGTAGTGTCATCTGACCTCTGCCCGCATGTCTTGGACACTTGGATGAAGAGAGGGGATGAGCTGTCAACTGATCACCAGGGGGGGGGGGGGGGGCGGAAAGACCTGGCAGGCCCAAGCGTGTAGTGAGAGTCTGTTGGGAACATCTGGCAGAGCCCTCTGTCAGAGGGACTTTCAACTCGCACCTCCAGGAGAACTTCTCCCAGATTCCGGGGAGGCTGGGGACATGGAGACATGGACATTGTCGATGCGGCCTCTCATAGCTGTGGGCGTAAGGTCTGTGGTGCCTGTCGCTGCGATAATCCCCGAACCCGGTGGTGGAACACCGGAAGTAAGGGATGCCATCAGGCTGAAGAAGGACTCCTATCGTGCCTTGCTGGCTCGTGGGACTCCTGAGGCAGCTGATCGGTACCGGCGGGCCAAGCGTGCTGCAGCCCGTGCGGTCGCGGTGGCAAAAACTCGGAGCTGGGAGGAGTTCGGGGAGGCCATGGAGGATGACTGTCGGACGGCCTCAAAGAGTTTCTGGCAAACCGTCCGGCGCCTCAAGAGGGGGAAGCAGTTCTTCACCAACACTGTTTACAGTGCGGGGGGAGAGCTGTTGACCACGACTGGGGACGTTGTCGTTGGCGGTGGAAGGAATACTTTGAGGATCTCCTCAATCCCACTGTCACGTCTTCAGAGGAGAAAGCTGAGACTGGGGACTTGGATGTGGACTCATCCATCAACCTGGCTGAAGTCACTGGCAAGCTTCTTTGTGGAAAGGCTCCGGGGGTGGATGAGATCCATCCTGAGTACCTTAAGTCCCTGGATGTTGTAGGGCTGTCTTGACTGACACGCCACTTCAACATTGCATAGGCCCGATCCCTTCAACATAGGGATCGGGGCCCTTTGCTAAGGGCTGTCTGGTCCCGGTATGACCACAGCAGGAGCTGTGTTCGCATTGCCGGCAATAAGTTAGACCTGTTCCCTGTGCATGTTGGACTCCGCCAAGGCTGCCCTTTGTCACTGGTTCTGTTCATGGTATTTATGGAAAGGGGCTGGAGGGGGTCCAGTTTGGGGACCACAAGGGGTGTTTGGAGACGATGTTGTCCTGTTGGCTTTATCGAACCAGGACCTGCAATGTGCACTGGGGCGGTTTGCAGCTGAGTGTGAAGTGGCTGGGATGAGGATCAGCTCTTCTAAGTCCGAAGCCATGGTTCTCGACTGGAAAAAGGTGGCTTGCCCTCTCCGGGTGGGTGGTGAGTCCTTGCCTCAAGCGGGGGAGTTTAAGTATCTTGGAGTCTTGTTCATGAGTGAGGGGAGGACGGAACGTGAGATTGACAGGCGGATCGGTGCAGCGTCTGCAGTGATGCAGTCGCTGTATCAGACCGTTGTGGTGAAGAGGGAACTGAGCCGAAAGGTGATGCTCTCTATTTACCAGTCAGTCTTCGTTCCTACTGTCACCTATGGTCATGAGCTCTGGGTAATGACTGAAAGGACGAGATCATGGATACAAGCGCTAAAAATAAGTTTCCTCCGCAGGGTGGCTGGGTGCTCCCTTAGAGATAGGGTGAGGAGCTCAGTCACAGGGGAGGAGCTGGGAGTAGAGCCACTGCTCCTCCACATCGAGAGGAGTCATTTGAGGTGGTCCCACCGGGAGGAGGCCCCGGTGAAGACCCAGGACATGCTGAAGGGACTATGTCTCTTGGCTGGCCTGGCAACGCCTCGGGGTCCCCTCGGAGCTGGAGGTCGTGTCAGAGGTGAAGGAAGTCCGGGAGTCCCGGCTTAGACTGCTGCCCCCGCAACCCGGCCCCAGATAATCGGCTTCTTTGAATCCTAGTTGTAATGGACTTCTATTGAAAAAACGTCACTCCTGGCACAATCTCTGCTGTTGAGCTTCTAATTCTGGTCTTAAAATGTTAAAATGTTTGAACCCACTGTACATGGTAAATCAATGTATGGTGTTTATCAGTGAGTCTTTTTATTAAAGATTGTATGGAGGATTTTCAGAGAAAAGTGAAATACTGCGACTGTTTGTCCTTCAACTGTTGCGCCTGCGCAGTGTTGGGGAGTAACGGATTACATGTACCACCGTTACGTAATCAGAGTACAAATTATGAGTAACTGTATTCCGTTACAGTTACTGTTTCAATGAGTGGTAATTGGATTACAAGGCGGTATTTTCCTGTTTTCACATTTTGTGCTACATCCCATTTATTTATTTATTTTATTTTGGTAATTCCACTCATTGCCGGAAACCCAAACAGAACGCGACAGTAAGAGCGATGTAAACGTCATGTTAAAGTTGGCGGTGTCAGTCACACAGTGGAAGCAGCAGTGCATTGGTAAAAACGCATTTGTGTCTTGGAAATTCTTCTCCCGATGTGAGATATATATAAAAAAAACTAATATAAAATCGCCTACAACTTAAATGTGAAACAGGGGCTACTGGCACTGGTGAAAACAAACATTTTAAAAGTAACCTTCCCAACACTGCGCCTGCGTGACCCCTCCTCCTCCACAGCTCAATAAGTAGAAACGCCTTCTCCGCCTCCTCCACACGCAAGTCTCAGACTCGCGGCCCGGGGGCCAACTGCGGCCCTCGGAAGGATTTTTTGCGGCCCGCCACTTAATTCCAAAGAAGAATGTCAGTGCGGCCCGCGGTAGATGTACGCACAATCCCACCCCTCTACCGCGGGCCGCACTGACAGATGAAGCTGCAATCGGTGCCCATGCAGATTCACAACAGATTATTAGCGCAGTTTACATCCCAAAACTCAATTTACAGCAGTTGTGAAGCAACGAGTCTAAGTGGATCTGTTAATACGAGTACACATGCACATACTGCGTCACCGAAAAACCAAAACAAACCACACATGGTGGTACATGTGTGCGCACTTCACTTTATGCTCCCACAACCACAGTATCAGAGCGCAGAGGAGGCGCTGACAGAATTCCCCTGTTCATAAGTATGGGACCTTTATTGGAGGGGCTAATAAGAAATAAAAAGACATTGACAGTCTGTTTACCTGCTCAATACTCAGTGCGTAACTTGCTGGCAACCTGATGACCAAGCTCCACATATGTGTCACCGAAATCCACGCCCACTCAGTGGCAAACACAGCTGTCCCATCAATATGCAAGCACCACAAAACTGCAGTGATCTATTCCAGAGGCTTGGCGACATGTTAGCAAAAACTATGAGGCAAAAACAAGCCGTCTTCCATCCATGTTTGACATACGAGAAGCAGATACACTCCAGTGTGGTCCGCTTTCACACCGGCAAACGAACCAAAACTGGTCCGATTAACCAGCCTCTGTATCCCGGTAGAACAGCGATATCTCCAGTAACCAATACTGATGTTCCCTGTTAATACCGCGGGCTGTCCTCATCTTATCACCATGAACTCATAAAAAGCACTTTTCACTCCCCGCTCTACGTCATCTGAGCCTGGACAGAACCGGAGCTGCTCCTGCTGGTTCGGGACTCGGGTTTCGATCTAGTCCGACTGTATTTCTCACACTAGGCTAAAAGCAGGACATTTTTTAAAGGTGAATCAATTGAATGGGCGATTGCCTATTGCCATAAAATTATTTGGTTAATTAAAGCCGAAAATAACAAATGCTGGTTCCTACATGATCACGGGGAACACCGGGACCTCTGTGCAGGTCCTGATCAGAAATACACACCCCCATTTTTGACTTGCTCTGATCTTCGTGTGTTACATTCTCTTTATTGGCCATTGTTGGTAAAATAATTCGAAAATGAATCGCGGCTGCGTCTGGACAACAATCTGTTACTGCGCTGGAGTCGTACAGCGCTTCATTACAGGCAAAGGAGACGCGTTTCTCCCATGATGCATTTCGAATAGTTCGTTTGGACCTGCTGTCTATGGTTTGGACTTGGGTTGGCGTTCACACCAGAGGTGCGGATTCAAGCGAAACAAGACCACCTCTTTTTTGTGGTCTCGGTCCGCTTGAGTTGGTCCGGGTCAGAGTCCGATTGACGCTTTCACACCAACGCAAACGAACCGAGCTAACCACTTCTGGTTCGAATGGACCGTTTGGTGCGCACCAAAAACTGTTGGTGTGAAAGCACCTAATACAGGTCAAGGCTCACTGATGAGCATCTTCAATCTATCCTGAGGATCTCATATGCTTCCTCTTGCAAGCCGAATATCTCTCAGCTGTGCAAGATGAAGCATAGCCAGGTTTCAACCAGCAAGGAGTAGGCAAAAGAAGAAGAGTAGATGTATTAGTTTAAACTTACGATCTGAATGCATTTCATATTCTGACCTGTTATTAAAGATTAAGAAAGTGTGTTGCATGTTGTTCTTTCTCTCTCTTTTATTCCCATGCAACCGCTATTTATCGAATACTCAATGCGGCCCAGCCTCACTCAGACTTTCTCTAATGTGGCCCCCAGGTAATTTGAGTTTGAGACCCCTGCTTTAGACCATTTGTCTGCTGCAATGCATGCCATCTCTGGAAAGAAGCTCCAAGTATCACCATAGTTTGGCTTCGCTCCTTTTCTCCTTTTCTTCTTTCTCAAAACAGACCGTCCCAAAAACAGACTTTCTTTTGTAACTAACTGGTAGTGGATTCCTGTCTGCCATTGCAACAAACTTGGTGCTAACTGCAAGGAAGCGACAGCTCAAAAAAGCCACTAAGAACTGCTGCATTGGTTGAGTAAATGGCATTTTGCGTGAGAGGTATACGTAACCCATGTAATCCCAGTGTGCCGATAAGTCAGTTACACTAGAAATCAAACACAAAGCTTGATTGACAACCTAACAGACTTAACAGCCAACAAGTAACGAGGTAGCATCGTTATCTGTTGGCTGATGTTTACCTGGCCCTAAAACATCCACAGTTGATGGATTTTCATTCTTTTTTATTTTGGTCATCATGATTACAGGGCTGCTGCATCTTAATAATGATATTTTGAACTTTCATTGACAATTTAAAAATTTTAAAATCCACCATACAACCTTTAAAGGCGCACTGTGTAACTTTTCTGGTGGAGAATTCACCACCTGCTTGTCTCTTTTTGTTGTTGCTTTGCCTGGAATGTTCCACAGTATGGCATTATATTAAATGTACCTATCTTCACTGAGACCTGAATTTCTCTATTGAACTAAATACAATATTTGAACTCACAGTCGACAGTTCCCTCTGAGTCTGTGTTGTAGTGTGCGTAGGACTGCCACAGGTCTCCATCCTCACAGAACATCTGAGTGGACAAAGTGACCGGAGCCAGAGGAGGCAGGAAACGGGCTCTAATCCACATCTTTTCATCAATGAGCGCCCTGCAGGGGTCAGCAGAGAGCAGAGGGCCAGGTCTGAGGCTGCTGCCCTGACGAACATTCGCCAAAACACCTGAAGAAAAACAGATATAAATAGTCACGTTCATGACTGAGATGAACTGGATCTCAGTTTTTAAACCTATATCTATATATCTATATCTATCTATCTATCTATCTATCTATCTATATATATATATATATATATATATATATATATATATATATATATATATATATATATATATATATATATATATGTTTTTTTAAAACACTGATTTACAATGATCCAACAGAAATCTGTACGGAAGTAGGCAACACATGAGGGAGCTTTTTGCACAATAACACTTGGCATCATCATAACTGTACCGCAGTTGTCTGACAGATCCACAATGATACCTCTGTATTTATTTATACAGATGGACATCAGTGTGGTCCCCCGCGCACAGTCACATCCAGAACCAAATGTGGTCATAGGCCTCTCATGATAACAAACTTTGAGGTAGAAAACATAGATGATAATTATGCCACCAACACAATAACCCTCAAGTAGAATTATCCACAAAATACTATTCTAAAGCCATTTTCACACACCACCACCTGTCTGGTGGTGTGGAGAAATTATAGACTATATACAGAGTATCCTCCTGACCGAGAAGTGACAGATCACGACACAATGCACATTGTTTAGTACGTTTATAGAAACAAAACTTAAAGACACACAAACGGACTAAAGGACAGGATTTGGTGAAAAATTTTTAGGACTGAGGAAAGAGCGGAGGCTGCAGCTGATGGTGTCTGGAGGACATATTTATTCTCTTCCGTGCATGGGTACATATGGAGATGTTGGATCTGTTCACAGATCGTACTGTCTGTGGGGTTTATTGCAGATCTATCTTATTCAGCAGAAACATGTTCTCCCGTGTGCAAACACTCAGGTTATTTATGTATAAAATGGTGAAATTTGCCTTCAAACTAGAGCAGTAGAGGAGACTGAGGAGAATTATTATTATAGTCCATTTTGTGAGTGTTGGAGTTTTTTATTAAACAGCTGTAGGTTTTATGTGGCGTCTCCGTTATTCCCACCGCTGGTTGGTCGGATTCTCCAAACGCAGCTGAAGCTCCTTCTTCTATCTGCATAATGCTCTTATGGTTGACCCTGTAAAGTAGCTCAAAAGGTGTTGGGAGCGAAGAACGAGGCACTAGGAACTATGATTTGATGTATTTCGGAATTAGCCCTGTTTAATATCTGAAGAGGACACGGTTGGTGCACGTATTCACACAAATGGACCAGCACAAAAAAGTCTGGAGAAGAGCCGCATGGCACTGCATGTGTGAAAACTGCTTAAATGTACAATATGGTAAAAAATTTTATATATATATATATATATATATATATATATATATATATATATATATATATATATATATATATATATATATATATATATATATATATATATATATATATATATATATATATATATATATATATATATATATATATATATATATATATATATATATATATTTCATTAAATAAATACTAACTGAAAAATAGTGGATTCTATTTTCTACCCAATTCCTGGGTTAGGGCTGTTGGGACATTTTTTGGGGTTATTTTCAAAGAGTTGCGTTATTTTGCTTAACCCAAATACTGGGTCAACAGGCAAATACAAGATAATGATAGATATTTTCCTGCCCTTTTCTGGTCTACCAAACATTCTGGGTCAAATCATCTCACAACATCCCAGTGAAATGGTTGAAACACTTCAACTGTCAACAGCGGCCATTACTCATCTCATCTACTGCTCCAGAAAAACAACTGTTAAAGGTATTTAAACATGATTATTGCTTTATCTTTGTGATTTTATCTGCAAGTTTACACAATTTAATCATTTAATGTTAAATGTTACTAAGTAAACGTCTGACTTCTGCCTGCGAAGCATCTAGCCCTTTTTTTGAGCCAGGCTCTGTATTATGAATAGGAATTTTTTAATGGTGATATAGCAGAAAAAAAGACCAGAATCATGTAGAGCGGGTCATTATGAACAGTTGAAGATCAAAATGACATGGCTCATGGCTGCAGTTACATTGGAATATCGTGGCCTCTGTAAGTCAATGGGAGCTGTGGTCAGTAGGAACCAGAAGAATCCTCATGTGAATGTCCTTTTTGGAACACGGCAGCTAGCACGTTGACTATGTCCATATACTATCATATACTACAGTCTATGGTTCTTCCCTTTATGACAGTGGAGCAGACTACAGTGTCCACAGCCCTGAGCTCTGGACTCAGACTTCAACACAAATCTTTTGTTAAACCACAAATCTAAGTCTTACAAAATGAACAATTTAAATTAACATTTCACTGCTGAATTCATAACGTGTTCCAGTTAATGGTGTGACATGTTTTGATTATTTAATTATTTATTAAAATGCTTTTTGAACATTTTTGAATAATTATTTCTTAAATATGATTGTGGTGGTTAATATAAGCATTTAACCCGTGTGTTGGATAGAATAAACTCAGCAGAGTAGTAAAATACAACCCAGAATTAAGTAGAAAAAAACAACCCAAAAAGTTGGGTTCAAATATTAACCCAAACTGTTGGTACAGAGTGACCCAGTGATGGGTTATTATTTTACACAGGTTGGGTTATTTGTAACCAGTATTTTTTTGTGTGTGGCAGAATGAAACACCTAGACCTAGTTAATTTGTATCTATAATGAGTCTTGGGGTGCTCTCAAACTAGGACTTTAAAACCATGCTGTGCTCAAACACGATTACTTTTTGAGAGAAAAATCTTGGTGTACCTGCAGTTTAGACCTCTACAAGAATTGCTGAAATACATGGAATATTTGTACAGGCCAAAATTACAACAGCAGTTACCTCTTAAGGCTTAACATTGTTGATTTAACAAACAGAAAGTTAGAAAATCAAATAGTCTAACAATTAGTCAATAACAGACAGATCCACAAAATAATAATTAAAAAAGATTAGTTGACAAATTAAAATTTTGGTTGACCAAGACACCATCAACTGATTAAAACCAACTAAACGCCAACAGCTCTGGCAAAGATTTTTTTAATATCTTGCTGCCCTACACTGAAATATGTCAATGTGCAGTCTTACCCAGAGAACGGTTCAGCTGTGTAAATGTTGAGTGAATTCGCAGCCATGGGGTCATCGTCTCAGACTCAGACACGGCTCCTCTCTCTGTGTTTAATGAACAAATGAAACTATGCTAAAATAGTAACACACGTGTTTTGACATTTATTAAACCCCACGGAAGTCGTAAAATGTTACAAGTTTGACCGGTCTTATCTTGTTATAATCAAGGTTCAAAGAGGCAGAAGTCCACCTAAGTCACCTAATAATGTTATTTTTAGTATTGTCATATCTGGATTAGTAAAAAAAAAAAGAACTTACATTGGTGGTTTTCAGATTCTAGATTGTGTTAGTTTTCCTATTGATTACACTGTACTTTGCCATGGAATATCCAAAAGCCACAAATGTTGGACCTTGTTTTATTATTGATTAGAACCATGCATTTGTACAATATTAACTTTAGGGACACATTTTTGAGAAAGGTCCTATTCTCCACTATAACATGTTATAACAGGCTACTAAGAAAACATGTTATAGTGAAGCACAGGACCTTTCTCAAAAATGTGTCCCTATATTTAATACAAATAAGGGCAGCTAAAGTTATTGTACAAATGCACGGTTCTAATCAATAATAAAACAAGGTCCAACATTTGTGGCTTTTGGATATTCCATGGCAGGCTAATAACAAAACTACTACATATGTAACTTCTGGTGAGGAGTATGTGGCATGTTGCTGCTTTGTCTGGGATGTTTATGTTAACAATGTTTCACTGTAGAAGAAGTGCCACTTTCATGCCATACTGTGTACAAACTAAAACACAACTGAAGCACTCTTTTTAAAAACTTTCTCACTGAAAAAATAAAAAAATAAATAAAAAATAAGGTAGCAGATAAACTCAGAAGTTAGATAAACTACTATCACATCTACAGCCTATTCCTGTCCTGCATAATGCCCTTATTAAAGTACACATGCATTTAAAGTACAGTATTCAATAAGCTGAAGAAACATGCAATATATTGCATGTTTATTGCATGTGGTCATCGTGAATAGTGCCATCGTCATTGGGGTTGTATTATTTTAAGTGGGCCTGCCAATCTTGACAGTAAATAAGTTCTATCTGGACTACAAAGCTGCTATAATAATAATACTATTACTAATAATGATAATAATAATACTTTCCATTTATATAGCGCTTTTCAAGACACCCAAAGCGCTTTACAATAACAACATACACACGAGTGCGTTTAGGGGAGATTAAAATCCAGAAAAAACAGAAATGTTTTGAGAAGTGCTTTGAATAGGTCAGTGGTTTCAGCAGTTTTGTATGTGTGGAGGAAGCGTGTTCTAGAGTGCAGGGGCCTGGACACAGAAGGGTCTGTTTCCCATAAGCGTTTGAGCAACCGAGTTGCTGGAAGTGGGAGATGCTGCAGAGGTGGTAAAAGCCATGTTTTGTGATTGATTTGGTGTGGGGTTCAAAAGAGAGGGTTGAGTCCAGGATGATGCCCAGGTTGCAGATTGTTGGGGAGAGGCAGATGTCATTGCCACTGATGTTGAGCACCAGATCTCCAACCTCCTGGAGCAGTGGTCTGGTGGCCACAGCCATGAGCTTTGTTTTGTTGCTGTTGAATTTGAGCAAGTTATATGTCACCAGGTCTGAAGATCAGTAAGCCAGTTGGAGAGAGACTGAGGGGGGAGATGGGCGGAAGGCTTGATGGAGATGTAAAGTTGCGTATCGTTGGCGTATGAGTGGAAGTTGAGTCCATATTTACTTAGGCAGAGCGTGTAAATAATAAACAAAAGCACAGCAAGAGCACAGAACCTTGTGGTACACTTTGGTCGATGAGAGCAGGAGGAGAGCGGCAATTGTTTTGGCACAAGTCACAGCTGCCAACATCTAGAATATGAGAGGGGAGGAGTTTATAAAGTTCAGACTTCTTCCTACTCCTCTTAGGACATAATTGTACTACAGCACAATATGTACAATATGATTTCATAATAATTGAACTGAAACAAAAACAAACAAACATCTATTTCTCAAATAAATGAACAACAACAACCATCTTCTACACTGTATAAATTGTGCCGATGGAATTCTGCCTAGTGTGATGTCATCAATACAGAGCTCTCTATTTCCTGTCATTTTGAACATATTGTTCAACTTTTCTTCACAAACTGCTCAAAATACACATTTGAAATAGACCCAGGAGCATGAACATTTGAGAGAAGACTTGAAATACAAGATTTTTCAGATTTTATTCTTATTTTTGTTTAAGATCTGTTGAACAGATCAAAAATGTAATAATATGCAGATACAATAAAAATATAAGCATGCATTATATAGATGTGAAAACAGCATTAAAAAAAAAGGAATTATATTTTGCATGAGACATTTCAGAACTTGTTTGTAGAGGTCTACAGCACGGTGTAAACAGGTTTTAGACATAATCAGTCATAAAATATTCTCTGAATGACAGTTTAATACCTGAATGACCACACATAATGGGATCTAGTGCAGTGAATAGTGTCAATCAAAATCCTTGCCTGGAAAATCCAGAATGACACGTGTGAAAAAAAGAAGCTCATTGGTCACCCATAATTTACAAACAAAATTACATTTCTTTGACCTCAGGTTAAACAGTTTAGTTTTTAGTGTTTTAACACAATGTAACCACAAAGAAGTGACTTAACTGGAACTAGAACAGGTGAGATTATTTGTGCTGTTAAACAAGTTCCTATCAAATAACATTACAGTCACAAGCGAACTAGTCACTCTCACATTTTGTTGTCCAACTCCTAAACAGGACCACTGAAAGTGTTGATCACAGGGTCCTGAAAAAGTGTTGTTTAAATCCATTTTGTATTGTTCTTGAGTTTTCAGGTGCCTTTTTAATGCCCTACCCTCTGTCTCCTCTGAGGTGAGTTTCCATGAACTGGTGCACCTTTCTCCATGCGTCCTCCTGGGCCACAGCGTGTGGGGCTGGTTGTCCACCCCAAAGAGTAAACACTAAAAAACATAATCAATTAATTTACTTAAACATGTTTTTTTTTAAAGGTGCACTGTGAAACTCTTTGGTGGAGATGCCTGTCATCAATTTAGGCTTATTTATGTTCCACTTTCGTAATCCGTGCGTTCCAAGTGTCGTAACTGTCACTGCAATTAAACTTCCAAACATTTCTAAAGTCAAAGCTGCATTCTCTTACACATCCAGAAGAGGGGGCACAAAGTCAGTTAGTGAATTAACAGTCTATGACATTCTTTATACAATCTATGACCAAAACAGATGAAATAGAGCAACAAATAAACAAACATGGAGGTACAAACAGCAGTTTTAGATTACATTTGTTGTACAAGAGTCAAGAAAAATTAGATGAGGGAAGCATTTTTAGCAGTTTGTACTAGTCATGTTTTTAAAAGTTTAGCTTCCACTATGGAGCTGTGTTTTACTGTCCCCAGTGGTCAGCTCAAGTACAGCTCCATGGCAAAGATTACACAAGTTCTGAGGAGACGGACCAAGTGACGGACAGAGCTTAAATGAACCTTTATTGTTCAATACATGACAGATGGAACAATTATTTTTAGGGGTCAGTGTGTATCATGGGTGCTTTTTCTTTGTACTTGTGGGACATTTTCAAACTAACTACTGTGTTACTGTGAAAGTGTTTCATTGTGCTATTTATTTACTAAACCAGGATTAGAACAGGACCAAATGAAGTCCACCTCAGACTCAGGACTAAACTGGGAGCACAAACATATGTAACATGCCTTTTAACATGCTGTGGCAGTGTTTCACAATAGTTGGCAGCACACACTAAATTTCTAACTATTTTAGACACAAAGTTGCTAATTAAAATGCAACTAAAGACCATGAACATGGTTCACTTGCAAAAAGTGAATTTAGGTGAATCCCACATTGAACATTTGATTTCTGAATGTGGATTTCTTTTTCAGAGTCAGTAGTGCTTGTGTAGTGTGGTAATGGCACCAGTGGAGACAGACTCACATTTCTTTGGTTTGACAGTCCACAGAGACATTCGGGTGCTGGGGGAAAACGGTGGCTCAATGATGTGCCCAGCTCCAGGATATGACAGATGGTTGAACAGGTGACCCTTACCACAGGCGTTTAGGGTCTGCTTCAACTGAACAAGTGAACAAGTGTTAGACTAATCAGGCAACGCATGAAAACCACCTCTCCCTCACTGCTCCTTAAAGAAAAGGTGTTTTAGTTCTATATGGATTCAATCTTTCATTGCTATATTTACCAAAAACAATGTATTAACATGTTTATTCTTTTTTGACATTTCCCATTAAGAGCGCTTTTCAGGTTGTATCATGCTTTTGTATATTTATGGAGAATGGGTGACATAAGCTTTTATGTGGAGCATTGGACAGAATTTTACAGCTAAAAGTTAAACAAGTTACTGTGCCCTCAGGACTGACCCCAGTGCACACTAGATTTAGTTCTGTTTACTTCACTTTTGGATAGGCCTCATGTTATGTCCGCAGCTTGGGTCTGTACTTTGTGGGTGCATATTTGTGCTGCTGCTGGCTCTCTCTGCTCCTCCCTTCCTGATTCCAGACAGTGGGAGGGCCAACCTAACAAGCAGCACCTGATGGTGGGTGTGGCCCAACACCTTTAAAAGCTGGCTGCTGGAGACTGCATCTCTCTTCTCCCCTCTCAACCATGCGGCCACAATTTTGCTTGCACCCTATTTTTTAATAAATATCTATGCTTGTACCCTTTTTAAACATGTGTGGACTCCATCTTATTCGAACCCTGAGCCAGTTTGTGACACCTCACCCCAAAGATGCATCGTGAGCCATGGTCCAGCTCATTGGGGCTCGATCTGAACCGGAGCTGCTCCCACTGGTTCAGAAGTATGGGTTCGGACTGTTCCTCTGCCCATACAAACTGGGGAACAGCGGTACGCATCCCCACGCCTAACAACAAACTGAGATGACAAAAAAGCCAGTAGCAGCTGAAGTGTGTGTTTTCTTCCGGTCGACGTAAATACATTCGTGTCCCTGTCCAATCAGAACTAAGAATTAAATAAAGCCGATTTAACGTGTTTCCATTAGAGCCCGACCGATATGGATTTTGCTGTGGCCGATATGAAACCGATATAATGGGAGTTGGAGCTGCCGATGGCCGATATAATCGCCGATATATTTAGTGATGTAAAAATTCACTGTAAATGTTGAATTTTTAAAAAACTTAGGTTTGGCTCTGGTGGATTTTAAATTGGGTTTATTTAGGCAACATTTATTGTTATTCTGCCTCTTTACATCATATTTACAGACAGTAGGTTGGCTTAATGCAGTGCTTCTCAATTATTTTCTGTCATGCCCCCCCTAGGACGAATAAAACATTCCCCCCCGCGTGACTATAGATAGTATCATTTGTCTATAAAATTGTTATAAGTACACCTGTGCGTAACACTGCCACCTTATATGACGCCTACAACGCTCGCTGGTTTACTGAAGTAGCAGTCACAAAGCGGGATGATTGTCGGCAATATTCGGCACGTTTTCGCTGAAAAAACTCAAGCGGCTTATCAGAGTGATTGGGGTGTAATGTATTTAAGTGACGCCTTAATTTATTGGGCTTCATGCTGTCGGCTGCCAACATTTTTAGACACAGTAAGCACAGTAAGCACACCGGTCTTTCCTAATCTCCCACCGTAGTCACAGTGAAGCCAAGCGCTACATACGCTTCGTCATATTTCCTCGTCTTAGCTTTCGGGAGATTTTCGTTTGTCTCTTTATCTCCGTCTCTCTCCGCCTGTCTTCTCATCCCTGTTAAATATTTTTTCATGGTGTCACTTGAGGGTCTGCTACACTTCGTGTCTACACGTCATACTCAAACTCTGTGCTGTGTGCAAAGCGCGCATGCTTCAGTGCAAACAAAACTCCTACACCACCGAGCGAATGCTCCCTGCGCACACTCTGCCAATGAGAGCGCCACTGCCCCCTAGAGTAGTGGAAGTGCAATTGCACTTTATTCTAAAGGCCCGTTCAGACCAAAGCGTCCACTTTCTATGTAAAGTCTATGTGGATGCGCGACTAGAGCGTCCTGCGTTTTTGCGGCGCGTTTTCGGCGTCAGCGCGGCGCGAATCTGGCGTCAGCGCAGCGCGTCTTCAGCGTTTTGGCGTCAGCGGCCAAGACGCGCGTCCAAGGCGTCAGCGTCAAGAAGTTGAAAATGCTGAACTTTTCGCGTCAGACGCGCCGCGTCAACCAATCAGGGACGAGTATCCAGAGACGCAGCGACGTTATTATCAGGAAGAAAGACCCGAGAACCAGAACGAGAACCACAAACATGAGCGGAGCATAAATATATACGCCACAATCACCGAGCCGATCGCGAGGACTACACCAGGACCGGACCAGGACTAAACCAGGACTAGACCGAGACTAGACCGAGACTAAACAAGGACTAGACCGGGACTAGACCGGGACCAGACCGGGACTAGACCGTGATTAGACCAGGACCAGACCGGTATTAGACCAGGACTAGACCGGGACTGATCCAGTGTCATTAGCGGAGTAGAAATATATATACGCCCCAGTCGTCGACCCGATCTCCTCCTTTGATGTTTTATGTCATAAAAACACTCTCAGTCTGGTCTGACATTGTTTCGGGAAAAGAGCGGGACCGGGCTCTTGTTTCCAGGGCAACGGACGCGCGTCAAGTATTTTTGTCCCGTTCGTCCACGGCGTCAAAGATGCGCGTCGGGGGCGTCTAAACTCAAATGCAAAGGCTCCAAATAGAGGCGTCAAGGCGTTTTTTGACGCTTTGGTGTGAACGGCCCTTAAGACAGTAAAAAAAATCAAAATAAAAAAATAAAAAAGCATGCTCCCCTTGACGGAGCTTCGCGCCCCCCCAGGGGGGTGCGCCCCACTATTTGAGAAGCACTGGCTTAATGGCATTTTTGCATCACATTCTAGACACTAGTGATGGGCATTCCAGTTCTTTTTAGAGAACCGGCTCTTTTGGCTCGGCTCACTAAAAGCTGCTGGTTCTTTCGGCTCCCAAGCGGCTCTTCAGATTGTTTTGTTGCAAGCAGGTCTAAAGCACGTCTAAAGGACTGAACCAGGTCTAAACCAGAACTGAAAAAGGACTAAACCAGGACTAAAACAGATCTAGACCACGTGTAAAACAGGACTAAACCAAAACTGAACCAGGACTGAGTGTCGGGACTAGGTCTCTATCTCGTGCCCAAGATTAGTCCTGGTTTATTTATTTTATGCTAAACTACAGCCAAATATGCAAGTTTTTTTTATCCTATGTACACGCAAATTTCTCAAAGTTTCGTTTTCAGCCGCTACTGCTGTCAAACTACCACGAGTCTGCATGCGGCGTGAAGAGAAAAAAGTGAGAGAAAGAGAAAACACGGCTCCCAATAAGGATCAGGCTCCCGTCGTTCGCTTCAAAGAGCCGGCTCTAAGAGCCATTTCGTTCGCGACCGACCCATAACTAAAGAAACTAGTGCTGTTAGCCTTTAGCCGTAAATACGTGCGCGCCGCGGTAATTAATTATATGCGCAAATGTCATAATTCACACGTCTATTCACAACTCATTTACATATCAATGCAGGTCCAGTAACAAATATACGGCCAATGTAGCAATTTACAATAGGCCAATAGAAAACAGACTGTTTATGTGCGGGAGCTACAGCAGCTAATCCATAACAAATGACCAAAACTAGCTTCAAAGTCGACATATTTCCAACACTCACCGCTCATACAGGCTCCTCCTCACATCACAAGTCTGAACTAATAAATGTCCTTTTAATGCAGACTCAAACCGATTGTCTGTAAAAAGAATATAATCTCAATGTTTGGATCTATGTCTGCGCGTGTAAACAAACACACGTGAGTGACACGACTCTGTGGTGTGTTCAGGGACAGTACGGACACACACGCAGATAAATGACTCCGCAGATAAATACTGATGCGGAGCCACATATCTGGACATTTATCTGACTGTAAATTGGATTAAATGGACAGAATATAGAGTCTAAGATTTTTAACGACGTATCACATGCCCACGTGAAATATCGGCCCCTATCAGCAAGCATATCGGCCGATAGCCGATATACCTCCAGGTGCCCATATAGGCCGATAATATCGGCCAACCAATATATTGGTCGGGCTCTAGTTTCCATGTAAACCTTAATTCGGAATTATTATTTCCATGTAAACTCGAAGGAGAATTGAATTTCAAATTAATTAATTCAGAATAATTAAATCGGAATTAAAATCATATAAACCTGGCCAGTGATACAATGGTAAACTGTGGCACTATTCCACTAAACCAAGTAATAATTGCAAAAACATAAAAACCATAGGCATTTGAACATAATGAATGATGCAGTGGATTTTAGCCCTTACCAGATCAGCGTTCTCTGCAGCATACCCACTCAAGTCATCCCCACTAGCAATGTACAAGACCGGACAAGGAATCTTCTCCATCTCAAAAAATAAAAACAAAATAAGAATCAGTAAAATGATAAAGCAGACTGACAAACACAGAATGAAGTAATATAATATTACCTGGACTATGTGTGATGGTGGCATGTCCGCCGGGAGAGAAGCTTCCTTGAAAGTGACATGGCCATCATTGTTGAAATTCCAGTGTTTTTGGTGACTAAAACACAAATACAAAGGGCTCTGTAAATAAAATATGAGTGAATTGTCTTGCTAAAACGAGGTAAACAGTTTCCTATTAACTTTGAATATTAGCCTTTTTTGACACACCAGCAGCACCAGCATCTTATAGCAGCAATATGTAACTTTTTGGTGGGGACCTGTACCCACTTGTCTCCATGGAGATGTCATTGTCATTCCGTTGTCTGGAATGTGGGGCATTAAACATTTCAAATGATCACTTATTCAGTTACATGTTTTTACTCACACGCTCAATTGCGTAACTATAGTTTAATTAATAACCCTCATGCTCTCCTCGGGGTCACATTGACCCGAAGAATTTTTTTTTCCTTCCCGCTCTCTTAGGGTGGGTCAATCAGACCCAAAAATTTATTTTCAAATAAATTCTCGTCAGGCGAGAAAATACATTTTTAGGTCTGACTGACCTGCCCCAAGAGAGTGGGAAAAAAATAATTATTTGGGTCAATGTGACCCCGAGGAGAGCGGATGACAAGATGAGACAAAGAGACAAGCAGGTGGTGAACACTCCAGACAACAAAAGCACAAACACCACAGTTCTACTGGTAATTGTATATAATGTACAGATTGAAATCTTCAGCTCTCCCTTCATCAGTGAGTGGAATCGTGCTGCCCACTGGTCCGTTTATGCAAATCAAACAGGATGGCTGCAGAAAAACATAAATAAACATGAGTCTAAAGATGCTCTACCTGATTTTTCCATATACAGTATACTACTACACCACTGTCTACAAAGATCAAAGGATCAAAATAGGACCAAATCAAGTCTAGATCAGGACTGAACTAGGCTCAAACCTGGACAGAATACATTTGTGGCGTACCTTAACTTCAGGTAAAGTAGCTGTTCTGAGAGCCAGGTAACCTCCATAAGAGACGCCCATGATCCCCACTCTGTCCCGACAAATTTGATCATGGTCCTGGAGGAACTTAAACGCTGTCTGCACAAAAAAAATATATAATGAATTACCACACTGCTCAAGTATAAATCTAAATATATATACATACATATATATATATATATATATATATATATATATATATATATATATATATATATATATATATATATATATATATATATATATATATATACATATATATATATATATATACATACATATATATATAATATATATATACATACATACATACATACATATATGTACCCACCATTCTTCTCAATAATGGTCATTAGCCTTCCATTCATGGAGTCTGAAGTGAAGTGGACTGTTTCCTTCACCTTAAATCTCCCATTTACGACGGGCCTACAAGTTCTAAGTAGGGTTTAGGTCAGGTAAAGATTGGTTCATGTCATTATTTTTTCATCTTTAAGGCCTTTACTGGCTATCCATGCGATGGAGCATTGTTCTGCATAAAAATCATGGTCCTCTTGAAAGATGCAGACTTTTTCTGTGCCCCTTACTGATCCAGCCACAGATCAGTCCATAAAACGTTCAGATACAGACGTGTTCAAAATTGTTCGTACCCCTCTGGTAATCAAAGAAAAGTCAACAATGGTCACTGAAATAACTTGAAATTAAGAAAATCAATAATAAATAAAAATTTACTGTTTCTGAATTGTTGTTCAATAGAATAAATTTAAAAAACAAACTAATGAAACTGGCCTGGACAAAAATGATGATACCCCTAGAAAAGATTGTAAATAACCGGACAACAGGAACATGTTAAACTTGTAAAATGTGTGTCCTCTAATTGGCATCACAGGTGTCTTCAAACTTGTCCTCAGTCACTCTGCCTGTTTAAAGGGGGACATGTGTGCTGTTTGGAAACATGATGGAGACAACACTGAACATGGACAAGAGAAAGTGAAGAATAGAACTGTGTCAGGATGTGGTTGAAAGAGGAAAATTGATGACAAATTGAAGAGCTGGAACGGAATGAACGGTAACCAAAGAGCCCAGAACAAGCTCCAAAGAAATGAAATGTGAACTTGAAGGGCGAGGTACATCAGTGTCAGATTGCACCATCCGCCACTGTTTATGCCAAAGTGGACTTCACGTGAGGACACCACTGCTGAAAGCAAATGATAAAAAAGTGAGACTGGAATTTGCCACAATGCATATGGACAAGCCACAAAGCTTCTGGGAAAATGTCCTTTGGACAGATGAGACAGAACTGGAGCTCTTTGGCAAGACACATCAGCTTTATGTTCACAGACGCAAAAATGAAGCACACCAAGAAAAGAACACTGTCCCTACTGTGACACATGGAGGAGGCTTGGTTTTGTTCTGGGGTTGTTTTGCTGCATGTGGCTCAGGGTGTCTTGAATCTGTGCAAGGTACAATGAAATCTCAAAACTATCAAGGTATTTTGGAACAAAATATGTTGCCTAGTGTCAGAAAGCTTGGTCTCAGTCATAGGTCATGGGTCTTCCAACAGGATAATGACCCAACACACAGCTAAAAACACCCAAGAATGGCTAAGAACAAAATATCTGACTGTTCTGGAGTGTTCTTCTGTGAGCCCAGATCTCAGTCCTATTGAACATCTGTGAAACGAACTGAAACGTGCTGTCTGGAGAAGGCACCCATCAAACCTGAGACAACTAGAGCAGTTTGCTCACGAGAAGTGAGTCAAAATACCTGTTGACCAAAGCAGACGTCTTACTGACAGTTACAGAAATAATTAGTTTGCAGATTTTGCCTCGAAAGGTTGTGCAACAAAATATTAAGTTAAGCGTACCATCATTTTTGTCCAGGCCAGTTTCCTTATTTCATTTTTTCTAATGATTCTGTTCAACCACAGGTGAAAAGCAATGTCTGAATTGTGTAGGACCATTTTCATTTTTTTTATTTATTATTGCTTTTATCAGTTTTAAGTTATTTCAGTGACCATTGTTGATTTTTCTTTCATTACCAGAGGGGTACCAACAATTTTGAACACGTCTGTATTTCTTGACCCAGTCTTGATGTTTCAGCTTGTGTTTCTAGTTCAGTGGTGGTCAGGTTTCAGCCTTCTTTGTACTTCTGGGCACTCCAGGTAGGTTGTAGTTCTGGAATATGACAGTGCTGGAGGATGATGGGTTCCTGGTAGCTTCATGCTGTATTCTTGTCAAATTTCTTGCCGTTAATATGCGTCTTGTTTTCTCAACATGCTTCTTGCAACACTGTTGACTACTTGCAACAAAACGTTTGATGGTACTGTAATCACACCCAATATCTTTGTAATGTCAAGAGTGCTGCATCTCTCTGAAAGACATTTTACAATTTTGACTTTTTCAGAGTCAGTTAAATCTCTTTTGGCCCTTTTTCTTGGAGGAAAAGCAGCTGCCTACTAATTCTGCATACCTTGATATAGGTTGTTGATCTCCTAAGGCCACACCCTTCCTCATTAGACAAATACAAGTCACTGGATATGCTTAAATCCAGTAAGAATTAAAGTTTATACAGCTTGAAATTGAAGAATATGCATAAAACTCATGATATGGTCTAAATACCCACTCGCCTAATAATTATGCACACAGTGCAAAACTATTCAGGAGAGGTTCATTTCTGTCCTATGAAAGGGACTTTTTTTTCGTATTGATACCTGCTCAAATGAGTATTTAGTTTGATACTAGATTTAGTTTGGATTAGTAGCTGATAAAAAAAAAATACTACTACTACTGCTGTAGCATTGTGCAACTTGCGGTTAATGGTTTTCTGTGGCAAAATGTCTGTGGAAATATCATGTGTATTCTCCATCAGCTTAATAAATCTGCATGCCCCATCGCTAAATCTTCAACCAGCAAGGTCAACAAAAGATATAAATTCTTCCATGAAGAATTTATCCACAACTATCAAGGTAAGAAAGCTGAAAACTGAAAGGGTAAGAACAACTAGCATTAGCGAACTACTTCTGAGCAAAACTAATGTTATGGTAATGAATAAAACATAAGTAACTTGTGAACTCAGACTGATTTGAGAATTAAAATTAAAAAATCAATGTCATGATGTAGATATTAGCATAGATAGCTTTGTGCAGTTCGAATGCTAGAGAGGTTCACAGATTAACGCTACATGTCTATTTGCGTTTAAGTTTTCATCTTTCTTTCCTTGATAGTTGTGGATAAATTCTTCATGGAAAATGATTATCCTTTGTGGACCTTGTGGGTTGAAGATTTGGTAATGGGGCACACAGATTTATTAAGATAGTGGAGAATACGCCAGAAATTTCCACAGACATTTTGCCCTAGAAAACCATTAACCAGAAGTTCCACAACCCTACAGTGCGGGACTTCTGATCGTTGTGACAAAGGTCTATGTTAGTTCTTGTTTTTATGTTTACCTTCCATGTCTCACAGCCAGGGGGCACTACTGCTCCCTTTACCCGTGTTTTGCATGTCTGTGTTAACCTACTAGGCTGTATAAAAGAAGTGGACTAAGCGAATTTGATGTCACCCATAACATTCAGATCCACTCAGATGTAGCTCCCGATGCTAACAGTTACAGAAGCGAATTTGGAGCCAGGCTCCACATCTGGGAATTCAACTGTGAGTATCATAGATCCTCTGATTGGTCAGTTATTTATGTTCATATCTTGATTTCAGTACAAAATAGCAAAATGAAAAATTCAGGATCATGTGCTTAAGAGTGTCTTAATATAAAAATTAAGACCAAAATGACGAGGCACACAGCAGCAGTTATATTGGGAACTTGTGGCCCCTTTCTCTGTAAGTCAATTGGAGCCAGAGTCAAAAGGAGCCAGAAGAGTCTCCTGGTGCATTTTCTACTTGGCACGTGTTCATGTTCAGCTGACAGGCACCTATAGTTTTCAAAAAGCAATTTTTACCTATTTTTAGGTCATAAACTTTTTCTCAGCTCCTTCAGTTGTCTTCAAAACTGTTTTTTAATCTTCCAACTCTGCTCCGCTCTATCTTCTCTCACTCTGTTTGGTCAAAGTGGTCACATGATACACGAGACCGTGCTCCTTGCGTGTGCTAGTGTACATTCACGTGTGCCTGTTTGACAAAAGAGCACAACTTCACATGTTGAATGGGAAGAGAGCCGCCGGAAGTACCTAGGCGGGCTAGGCTAAATGGAGACATACGCCTTTAGTTAGGCCAAGCCCTGGGGTCTAAACATGGCCGCCCATTCAAGTCAATGGGCCGAACTCAATGTGACATGTCTCCAGATTAGCCTAGCCTGCAGTTTGTGATTACTTTACACTCTATGGAATAAATCCTTTCTAAGCAGGAGGGCTTTTTTACACTGAAGATCCAATGAGTGGCCACTACACCAACTCAAGACAGCTCAAAGTAGCAATCCCCTATCCAGTTATTTCAATAGATCCATGAGCTTGGACCACTGACTTGAATGCACATGTTTAGACCTCAGGGATTGGAATAAATCTGTCTAAACTAAGTGTGGAGTTATTATTTGGACTAACAGGAAAGCATAAGAGAGGAATAAGTTTGAACCACTGCAAACTGTGAACTACTTTTGTTTTTCACATTTTATTACACACTCAAGGTCACAAAATTTGACAAATTACATTTTATATTAAAGCAACACAGTGCAACTTTATGGAGGTGGCACATCACCTGCATGATTCCATGTAAATTTAAGTTTAAACCACATTTTGGACCATTCTCCATGTTTTATGCCATACTATAGAATATTGTAGCCAAAGGAACAACATTTCCATAGAAACAACAGCCTCTCTTCCAGCAAAAAAAATTAGTGGAGATTAGAGGTAAGATCTTAAGACCGAGCCCAAGCCCAAGCCCGACCCGACCCGAAATGTCAATCATTACTTCGGGTCAGGTCGGGCTCGGGCTTCTCTCTCGCTGACTTTTTTTCAAATAAATATATGTTTATAAAATGTATGCTAAAACGATGTGTGGATATTAAACTAAGGAATACTTGTTATAAAATAAATAATATGGATAAAACAGAGAAGTAATGTAATGTAATTGCTATTTAACTACTAAACAGGATCCGCAGAGCCAGAGCTCTGCGCACGTGAACGCCCCCTCTTAATTTAATAATCTTCCCCTCCGCAAGTCTGCATCTATTTTGACCTGGTATCCCCAATATGGAGGAGCAAGAAGTTAAACTAAAGGCAGGAGAACTGAAAAGACAAACACGCACCGGTAAGAGTGAGGTGTGGAAAAGCTTCAAATTGATTGTTGAAAATGCTACAGAAACTTGCGTTGGCTTCGCTGAATGTCGTCAATGTGGCGCTTTGCTTTCATACGAGAGCAAAAAGACTGGCACCTCGACGCTGAGCACTGCTCCTCCTCCCGAGTCCTCACAAATAAAATATGACATTTCGGGTTTGCTTCGGGCTCGGGCCTGCAAATCAAGTTAATTGGTCGGGCTCGGGCCGGGTCGGGTTTTAATACCCGCGGGCCGGGTCGGGTCGGGTCGGGCTGGATTTTTTAGGCCCGATCTCACCTCTAGTGGAGATGCAAGCACACTCATAGTAAAGATGCATGTTTTTCTCCTTTTCATTGCAATACACACAACCAAAAAACATGCTTTTTAAAGTTTTTTGGGGGGGAGAGGGGGGGTGTAGGGGGAAGTTACACAGTGGGGCTTTGAAAATGTAAAAAACATTTCATATGAAACAAATTCACGTAAATTTAAAATAGCTGTATAAAATCTGGATCTCACCTTGAAGTATGCGTTCCCAACATTGATTGCATTTAGTGGCCCGGGCAGATCCTTGTGCCCAAGGTAGGCCAGGGACAAGCTAGCATAGCCTCTGGATGCTAACAAAGCCGAGCGGTACTCCACCAAACCTCCAATTATCCCCCAAAGATCTAAAATGGCCGGGAATGGACCAGGACCTGCAAAAATGTATACAGTGATTTATCATTTAATAAACTGTGAAATTAATTTTTGGCATATTGCATACAGCTGAAGTAGTTAATAATAATAAAAGTACTCCATTATATGTCACTACACACAAAATAAACTTAACTGTGTATATGGTGTTATAACAGCATTTTTACTGTTCCTAGTCATTCCTAGCAATTTCTGTGTAACTTGGGTTTAAACTCGCAGCTTTCTAGTTAAAATTAAACATCTAAATCTAAGTGTGCATGGCTTAAGTTTTCTTGGGCAGACTACGCTACATCATTGTTTCCCAAAGACTGAGTCGCGACCCTCAGGTTGGTCACAAGACATTTTTTGGAGGGTCACCTTGTTACGATCTGCATGCAGGGCTGTAATATACAGTTCTGACACATGAGAGAGCAAGTGAGCTAGCGAATCCCATCTGTCTGCCCTGAAGCTTATGGGTCCGGTCAAGCGGTAATGGAGGGAAACGGGATTTTTTACATTCAAATAGCTCTTATTCAGAAACTAGAGGGACTATTGAAATAAGTAAGGTATTAGAATGTAGGAAAGAGTTAACACTCCAACAGGGTAAAGTTAACCCTGCGATATTCTTTCAAGTTGTTGACAAAAAATGTAAAAACTCATGTCAGTAACGGAGGGAATGAAATATGCAGCACTTTTTGGGCAATAAATACAAACAGCGATAACTACCGGTTTTCACTTACATATCCTTAACAAACTGGTTTGAATATTTGCTTCATATAGTTTTCTACCATATGGTACAAGATTAGGTTGAAAAACCTCTTACTTTTTGAGTAATGAGATTTTTTATTAAGAAAGGTCATGTAACGGAGGGAAAAGTAATGGAGGGAAAAGCAACGGAGGGAAAATTGTGCAAGCAAATAGAAGGTGCATGATTTTGCATAATTTGTCAGCTTTTTTCTTCCAAATACTTTAATATTACTTCAAAATTAAAGGTAACTATTTCTATAAAATATGTCAGTCCTTCCAAGCTAATTTTTATAATTTTAAATAAAAAAAATAAAAAAAATCATGTACCTTCATCAAAAGTTCAAAGATCGAATAACACAAGATATGATGAAATACATCCATTTATTTACATGATTTGCAGGTCTTTGAAATTTGGGAAATAATTTTTGTTCCATGTTTCATAAATGGTCTGTTTAAAACTTATGTAACTTTAGAACCAAAAATGGTACAGAAAAAAGGTAAACAGTTTCATAAACTAGAGTACATATGCTATCTGTTCAATACATTTTTTATATCAGATGCATTAACTTGAATTTTTGGCCTTGCTGTATACTTCTGCTTGACTGGGCCCTTATTCATACTTCATAAGAACATAAGAAAATTGTTCTTGCAGTTCATCAGTTCTTGGGGTTTGTTCTCAACACCTCAGCTGATCAGAACTTTGTTCGGCAGCTCAGCAGCGCTGATCGGCATCTTCACTCAAATTGGTTGGTTATTTAAGTGGTCAGACACAGCCATTAAAATAATAGCATGGCGGAGTTTGTAGGTTCTGCTGCAGAGATCCATATTTAGAAATACTCATTTACACATAAATCTTCTGCATAAATAAACTCAACTTTACAACATATAAAGCATAACTAATAAAGAGCCACATCAGCCCATTTAAAATTATGTTTTTAATGCAGCTTTGCACACATTTGTTTACATTTTACAGAAACGAAACTTAAAACCACATGGTTAATTTCCATAAACTATAGCTCTGAAAAAAACAGCTCGCTCCTTGTGCCACTGATGCAGTCAGCTTCTGTTGAACTAAAAGACACGACTCGGTGTAATATGTGTGTTCTTTCTGTAACAGAGGGTGTGCTGTGATTGTGAGTTTGTCCTGTGCATATAGCACGCTGGAAATGGTTCATTAAACTTTTCAGAGATCATACGTGTGCAGGTTGTATGTGTGCGGCTACCGTTGTGATGCGATAAGGAGAAGGAAAGACAAGGAAGGAGGCATTTCTGCGAGGGAGTGGGGTAGTTCAGCAGCAGAACATCTTTTGAAGTATGAACTGATAGGCCCATACGAACTTTGTTCTTGGTCTTATCACCTCAAGAACAAGAACAATGGATCTGTGACCTGCTTATTCCTTTCAGCACTACATAATTGTGTGAAATGTTTTTTTTTGTGCTCACAAAAAATGAAACAAAGCAAAAAAATTGACTGAATGTTGAGCCTGATATATGTGTTCTGCTCTCTTCCTGTACCTCGGACTGGAATGCACTACAAAAATGCAGACAGGTCCATATATCTCATTAGAAAAATACTGAAATGTTAAGACATGTTTTGTATAATTTCTAATCTTTTTGTAGTTATTTTATTGACTAATTTGTTCAAATATTTCTGGATGATTGAATGTTGGAAAAAAAAACACATGGGCTACATTTAATGTCCAAATAAGCTGCTTATAGATGCATTTTATTGCTGGTTCAATTAGTGTTTCTCACTGTTTTAAACTTGAGTAATAGTAATTGTTTAGAGAGACACGATCACTCAGTCAACAATAAAATATCCTCATTAATGTTCAATAACGCTCAAATCCAACTTTATTTTGTGATTTATGAATAATGTCTATTGACATTACATTACGAAGGTTTGTAACTTTTAAAATATGTGTCCCCAGACAAAAGGTTTGGGAAACACTGCTCTACATACTAGAGCCCGATCGATATGGATTTTGTTGTGGCCGATATGATACCGATAATGGAAGTTGGAGCTGCCGATGGCCGATATAATCGCTAATATATTTAGTGATGTAAAAATTCACTGTAAATCTTGAATTATTTAAAAAAAACTTAGGTTTGGCTCTGGTGGATTTTAAACTGGGTTTATTTAGGCAACATTTATTGTTATTCTGCCTCTTTACATGATATGTCATAGGACTAAAGCAGGTCTAAGGCAGGTCTAAAGCAAGTCTAAAGGACTAAACCAGAACTGAACCAGGATTGAAAAAGGACTAAACCAGGACTAAAACAAATCTAAACCATGTGTAAAACAGGACTAAACCAGAACTTAACCAGGACTGAGTGTCGGACTCGGTCTCTATCTCTCTCCCTCTCTCGACCCCAAGATTAGTCCTGGTTTATTTATTCTATGCTGAATATATATATGCACGTTTTTTTTTTTTTGCCCTATGCACACGCAGATTTTTGAAAGTTTCATTTTGAGCCGCTGCCCCTGTCAAACTACCACGAGTCTGCACGCGGCGTGAAGAGAAAAAAAGTGAGAGAAAGAGAAAACACGGCTCCCAATCCCAATAAGGATCAGGCTCCCATCGTTCACTTCAAAGAGCCGGCTCTAAGAGCCGCTTCATTCGCGACCGACCGATCACCACTGTTGGGCAAGTTACTTTGAAACTGTAATGTGTTATTTATTACCTATTACTGTCAAGTAATTCGTTACATTACAATATTACTGCATTTAAAATGTAAGGCATTACATTACTATTGCATTACTTTAAGTTACTCTCACCAAAATAACTTTTGCCCTGTATATGGACTGAACCAGGACTAAACCAGGTCTAAACCAGGACTAAACCAGAAGTGAACTAGGACTAAAACAGGACTCACTGTAGGGAAGGGCTCGAAGGTGACCGCAGGAGAAAGGAGCGGCTCTGCTCCGCACCTCGCGGAGGTAAGAGCGGCTGTCACCCGATCGCTCTTTATGGACACCCTGCTGCTCGGGCTCGCGGCCCTGATTTCAGCAACTATTTGCAGGTACCCGAGCCGGTGCAAGAGTCTGTTACAGCGCGTAACTTCTACCTTCCTTCAGCGTGTCCAGAAGTCCAACTTTTTGTGTGGTGGTTTGCATCTTCCTCTGCCTTTTGGGTGCGAGCGCAGGAGCCTTTGTCGGTGCAGAACGTTTCGTCGACGTTGTGGGTTTTCGTGGGGGAGAAAACTTGCAACCGTACAGCACTTCAGAATCACACTGCTAGAGACTGAACATGTATTTAAATTTGGCAGCTGAACACATTCTGTACTGTTCTGTACAGGAGACAGGAGTCCCTTGGCTAGTCAGGACGCAGCGGGAGGAACGCAATACGCATTCATACAATGTAAAAAAAACAGGGCATGCAAAATTGCACAAAAAAAAAATTAAAAAAAAATAAATAAATCTGCGAGACAGCGAAAAGTGAACTGCGATAGAGGGAGGGACGAGTGTAAACCAGGTCTAAACCAGAACTGACCCAGGTCTAAACCAGGTCTAAACCAAAACTGACCCAGGTCTAAACCAGGTCTAAACAGCGTGGAGTTCTTTGTCAGTCCTTTCGCCCGCGGTTACCTGAAGGTCTATGAGGGCGCATCTCCGGCGTTTCACCGCTGCTGATATCGAGGTGATTTTAGCGAATTTGTATGAAGAAAAACCCACCACTTCAATCCAGGTTAAAAAAAACACTGTAACGCGCGTTACTCACATTTGTATCGAGTAAAATATTACTATTTTTTCCCCTGTAATGCCTTACATTACTGCGTTACAGCAAAACGTAATGCATTACTGTAATTCGTTACTTTTATAACGCGTTACTCCCCACACTGCCCATCACTACTATCTAGTAAATAAACAATCGGTATTAGCCTTTAGCCGTAAATGCTGCGCGCCGCGGTAATTAATTATATGCGCAAATTTCATCATTCACACCTCTATTCACAGCTCATTTACATATCAGTGCAGGTCCAGTAACAAATATACGGCCAATATAGTCACTTTACAATAGGCCAATAGAAAACAGCCTGTTTATGTGTGAGAGTTACAGCAGCTAATCGCTAACCTATCAGAACGAACCAAAACTATCTAAGTCGACATATTTCCAACACTCACCGCTCACACAGGCTCCTCCTCTTTCAGTCAAAATGTGTTTTCATATAAGGGCAGTGTTCTGTGGAACAGTTTACCACCCACAGTTAGAGACTCCCCCAGCTTTACGACTTTTAAAGGCCATTTAAAGACATGGCTCAGGTCGACACAGGTGTGTGATCATTTACTATAGTTTACAATGTGCAATGGGCAAAGTGCAATATGCTATTTATTAAGTATTTTAATATTTAAATTACGGGCAATATGTAATATACTAAAGAATTTTACCTTCGAGGGCACGTGCAATACATTGTACAAAAGCACTTTATAGTAATTTTAGCAATGGGCTGTGTGCAATATCTATACACTGGCATCTTAACTAAACAAGGCAGCGTGCAATTTTGATCAAATAATCCAACATCCTTTGCTTGACCTGTGTCTGTGATCTTGTGACTGACCAGCTCTTTGTGTCTGTCTATTTGTATTACTGTATTGTCTGTCGGGGTGTATTGTTTTTACTGTGCTTTTGTTTTATGATTACATCAACCTGCCTAGGGACAGCAGATGGAAATTAGCCTTGGGCTATAATCTGATAACATATTTACATATCATGTATATGTTCATTAATGTGTTTTGTCCCTATTTTTTTTAAAATAAATAAATAAAATAAATCCTCACATCACAAATCTGCACTAATAAATGTCCTTTTAATCCAGACTCAAACCGATTGTCCGTAAAAAGAATATAATCTCAGTGTTGCGCACATGGATCTATGTGTGCGGGTGTAAACAAACGCACGAGACTCTGGGGGTGTGTTCAGGGACAGTATGGACACACACACTGACAAATGACTCCGCAAATAAATACTGATGCAGAGCCACATATCTGGACATTTATCTGTCTGTAAATTGGATTAAATGAACATAATGTAGAGAGTCTAAGATTTGCCCACATGCCGACGTAAAATATCGGCCCCTATCAGCAAGCATAGCTTCCAGGTGCTCATATCGGCCGATAATATCGGCCAACCGATATATCGGTCAGGCTCTACTACATACTAGTCTCCATGTACAGTAAATGTACTTAACTAACTGTTCAGCCTGGAATGTTTCACAGCACGGCATTAAACATTAGACTTGAAATAATAATAATAGAAGATCTTCTAAGTGGTCTTCTTAGGGACTGCCCCAAAGAAGACTGTTTGCATGGTCGAAAGGCATCGGTATGTCCACTTAGCCTAAATAAAGTACTCTTATCAGAGTGCCTTGGATATCCTTGTGTTTCTTTCTAATCAGATGAGTAATTTGATTACTCAGATCCTCTCCCTGGTTACTTTGAATCTGTGTTAAAAAAGTGTGTGATTACCTGGGGGTAGGAATAAGGTCCCTACAAGTCCATTTTGTCGGATCTCGATCCTCTTAACCCCTGGAGCCATGTACCAGCGCTCAGTGGAGATGGAGGCCAGCTCTGTGCGCTCTGCTCCCCGGTGGCCTGGAGAAACGTGGCCCTCCAAAACAGACACTTTAAACACATAGGGAGTGTACGTGTCCCTCTTTCTCAACCTGTGGACAAACCATAGATTGTATAAGTGAAGTGGACTAAGTGAGTGACATCATAGCCCACAGCATTCGACTGCAACCAATTGAAGATTATTGAGGCTGGCAGTTATAGTGGTAAATGCAACCAGGGCTCGCAGGAACCACTTTGCGCCCACCACTATTAAAGGTGCACTGTGTAACTTCAGTGGTGGAGAGTATGCCAAAAAACAATTAACAACTAACAACTAACTGTGAGTGAGGTCCCCTCTCCGCAGATCTGACCTGTAACTTAGCCTGGTACCTGCTTGTCCACATGGAGATAAGTAAGTAACTAATACTGTGGAACATTCTTGTCAAACTTAAAAGATCTGTAGGTGGTGTACCCTCCTCCAGAAACGTTACACAGTGCATATTTACAAGAAAATTATATTTTTTGAAGATTCAAATTCAAATCATTCATCCATCCATTTTCTTCCCCTTATCCAGGGCCGGGTCGCGGGGGCAGCAGTCTAAGTAGGGACTCCCAGACCTCCCTCAGCCCAGACAGTCCCAGTCCTCCAGCTCCTCTGGGGGGCCCCTCAGGTGTTCCCAGGCCAGCCGAGAGATATAGTCCCTCCAGTGTGTCCTGGTTCTTCCCCGGGGCCTCCTCCCAATGAAATAAGCACTCGATGTGGAGGAGCAGCGGCTCTACTCTGAGCTCTTCCCGTGTGACTGAGCTCCTCACCCTATCTGTAAGGAAACTCCCAGCCACCCTGCAGAGGAAACTCATTTCGACAGCTTGTATCCACCCGGAGAGGTGGGTAGAGAGGAGGAAAATTCAAATCATATTTTTGCAATCTTTCAGAAATATCTTTATTATGTTTGAATGCATGACCAAAATGTGCCTGGTATTTAGCACAAAACGTGACAATTGGGTTTAGAGCTAGTAGTTAAAGCATATACTAGTATAGTAGTTTCCTCTGGTTCATTATTGATGCTCTCGTTGACTCCAGTGTCCATGGTTACAGCAGGTTAATGCTGTAACCATGGGTTTCTTCACCTGCCTTAGTCCCTCTCTCTCTCCTGGAGCCGGCTTCAGACTCCAGAACAGCCCCATCGGTTCACAGCCGAGGAACGAGCCCCCGACTGAAGAATGTGTGCACACTAAAGAAGAAGAGAGAGGAGAAGGAAGTCAAACATATTTGATCACATCAGAGTCAAAGTCACCACATAAAAAAAAAAAATTATATATAAGTTACACTGAAATGGAAATTACAGAGGCATTCACAGACATAATCAGGGTTTGCGTCTGAAGAATGATGGAACCTGACGTCATAAAGGATAAGCCTGTTTAAACACCATCAGGGATGTTTTTTCAGACCAAGTCCCCAAATCAGCATCAATTTTGACAACAGTGGAAGTTTTATTCTGTTTTTCCCAGATGGTAAACATTCATTAACATAGTTAACTTGCTCAGCTGATCCTGGGCACAAAGTGGTTCCATCAGATCCTGATTGTAATTGACTTCTATTGAAAAACGTTCACCCCTGACACACTCTCTGCTGTTGGGCTTTTCATTTTGGTCTTAAAATGTTAAAATGTTTGAGCCCGCTGTACATGTTAAATCAGCATACAGTGTTTATCAATTTGTCTTTGTATTAAAGGTGCACTATGTACATTTTCTGGTGGAGAATCCACCACCTGCTTGTCTCTGGGTTGTTATTGCTTTGCCTGGAATGTTCCACAGTATGGCATTATATTAAACGTACCGATCTTCACTGAGACCTGGATTTCTCTATTGAACTAAATACAATATTTGAACTCACAGTTGACAGTTCCCTCTGAGTCTGTGTTGTAGTGTGCGTAGGACTGCCACAGGTCTCCGTCCTCACAGAACATCTGAGTGGACAGAGTAACCGGAGCCAGAGGAGGCAGGAAACGGGCTCTAATCAGCACCTTTTCATCAATGAGCGCCCTGCAGGGGTCAGCAGAGAGCAGAGGGCCAGGTCTGAGGCTGCTGCCCTGACGAACATTCGCCAAAACACCTGAAGAAAAACAACTATAACTAGCTACGTTCATGACCGAGATTAACTGGATCTCAATTTTTAAACCAATATATACAGTCAAGCCCAAATGTATTCATACCCTTGACTTAAAGTTACTTTTATTCAACCAGCAAGTTTTTTCTTGATTGGAAATGACACAGGTGTCTACCTAGAGATAGAAAGACAATGTACAAGAGGCATCATTGTGGGGAAAAAAAATCTGCTTTTATTTACATTTGAACAAAAAGCGGCATGTCCAAAATTATTCATACCCTTTGTAAACTGTCAGAGTGTATGGAAAAATCCAAAGTTTTATACCATTCCAAACAGCACAAGCTGTTCTAAAACTTCCTAATTACCCTGATTCATTAGGAGGAGCTGTTTTAAGCAACCCAATAGGTGAAAAACAGCAGGTCTTTGCATTTGGTTTGTGAACAGTCATGGCTAAGACAAAGGAGCTCTCTGAGGATCTACAGCTGTGTAGTGTGGCTGCTCACAAGTCAGGAAAGGGTTATAAGGCCATATCTAAATGTTTTCAAGTTCCAGTGGCTACAGTGTAAAGTATTATTAAAAAATATAAGAAGTTCCACACTGTGGAAAATCTCAGAGGAGCCAAAAGTGACACCTGTGCTGGCCAGGAGGACAGTGAGAGAGGTGAAAAAGAATCCACAGATCACCACCAAGGCCACCCAGATGAATCTGGGCTCTGCTGGTGGCAACATCTCAAGGCAGACAATCCAACAGACACTACATACTGGTGGGTTCCACGGACCAAGGAGGACGCCACTTCTTCAGATAAGGCACACGAAAGCCCGTTCAGTCTTTGCAAATGCTCATCTGAACAAAGAAGACTTTTGGTCTTCTGTTTTATGGTCAGACGAAACAAAAATTGAATTGTTTGGCCACAATGATGTATCCTTTATTTGGTGTAAAAAAGGAGAAACCTTCAACCTTAAGAACACCATCCCCACTGTCAAACATGGTGGTGGGAGCCTAATGCTTTGGGGATGTTTTTCAGCCAATGGTCCAGGGAGTCTAATCACAGGAAATAGCACCATAAAGAAAGAGCAATACGTAAAGATGCTCAACAACAACATCAAGCAGCCTGCAGAGGAACTTGGACTTGGGCACCAGTGGACATTTCAGCACGACGACCCAAAGCACACTGCAAAAGTGGCGAAGAAATGGTTATTTGACAACAGCATTAGCGTTTTGCAGTGACGCAGCCAGAGTCCTGACTTGAATCCAATTGAGAATCTGTGGAGGGAGTTAAAGATCAGGGTGATGGCAAGGAGACCCTCCAATCTGAAAGCATTGGAGCTCATCGCTAAAGATGACTGGGCAAAAATATCAGTGGAGAAATGCAAAAAACTGGTCAGCAATTATAGGAAGCATTTGATTGCTGTAATAGCCAATAAAGGCTTTTCTATTGATTATTGAGAAGGGTATGAATAATTCTGGACATGCCACTTTTTCTTAAAATGTAAATAAAAGCTCAGAAATATTTTTTTCTTTTTCATTCTGTGTGACGTCTGTGTCATTTCCAATCAAGAAAAATGTTGCTGGTTGAATAAAAGTAACTTTAAGTCAAAATTTACACATACATACATACTGTATATATACATATATAAATATACACACAACTCAACACAAATCTGGCCAGATGTAGGCAACACAAGAGAGAGCTTTTTGCACAATAACATTTGGCATCATCATAATAACTGTACTGCAGTTGTCTGACAGATCCACAATGATACCTCTATATATATATATATATATATATATATATATATATATATATATATATATATAGGCCTGTCACGATACCAAACTTTGAGGTAGAAAATATAGACGATAATTATGCTACTGACACAATTACCCTAAAGTAGAATTATCCACCAAATACCATTCTAAAGCCATTTTTCACACACCACCACCGGACAAGGTGCGGGGATATTATAGGCTATATACGAGGGGTCTCCAGCCTGTAGGCTCGGAAGCTACTGGGAGCTCTCCACCCACTTCCAAGTAGCTCAACGGATTTATATTACACGTATTGCGTCTAATTTGACTAATACAAATTTAGATCGACCAGGACACCATTGACTTTTTTTTTCAATATCTTGTAAGCCCTGTTCTGAAATATGTCAATGTGCAGTCTTACCCAGAGAACGATTCAGCTTTGTAAATGTTGAGTGAATTCGCAGCCATGGGGTCATCGTCTCAGAATTCACTCCAAACACGGCTCCTCTCTGTGTGTTTAATGAACAAATGAGACTACACTAAAATAGTAACACACACACTTCGGCATTTATTAAATCCCAAATAAAAATGTAACAAAAATAAACTTTAAACGTAACACGATAAGACCGGTCAGTAATACGGAAGTCCAGGTCACCTAAGGCAATCTCCAAGAGGGTCTGTCTGCAGACGCACGGGGAAAGTGGAGCTGTAAACAGAAAACACGTGACCTCCAACGGACGCATAAGTTTGGAAACACGTCACCTCCACTTTTATGCAGACCTATGGGGCGACGAAACTTTTTATTTTGACAAATAAATGTTGCTTAAATAAAATAGTTTTTACTTTCTGGAGTTTGTTCGCACATATATACACGTAGCAAAAAGCCCGACCGGAGGGCGGAGAAAACACGCTTTTAACTTAAGGAAATCGTCACTAACACAACTGCAAACGTAAAATACGCCTATAACCCACAAAACTGTCAAACAAATTTGTTTTTTACTCCGTGAACCTCGGAGCTTTGAGCTCAAAGTTTGGCTAGTAATCTGCAGCTAATGCGCTGAAACGTCCTCTCAAACTTTCATATTTGGACAGATTTCCATCAAGAAGCCCACGGAGTGACTTGATGAAGCTATAAGGAAGAAATGCCACGTTTTCACGGACATACATTGTAACGCATGCATTTCATTCTGGGAATACATTATCTGCTTTTTACAATCTGCATTGTTGTAAATTAGAAAAAATAAATAATACTGCCTGGGCTGGTCAGATATACGATGGACAGTGGACTCATTTAACAGATTTGTGCAGATACTGGTGTAGATATTACCTGACTGTGTCTGTTATGCCTATCACATCTAATATCATAACAATGAGAAAACAGTTTGAAATGGTTTATATGAATTATATAAGGACACAACACACTGCTGGGGCCACAGAACAGTTGGCTGATGAGATGCTCATGATTCATAAAATGGGTCAAATGCAGATGACAAAGTAAAGCCAGCACTGCGCTGGAGGTGCTGACCCAGACTTCTGCCACAAATTTGGTATGGGGCATGTTGCATTGAAAACTCCAGTAATAATAAGGGCTGCAAATAATCATGCTCATATTGAAATTATTATTTAAATTGTGAAAATATGCATTTCTCAACTGTGTGGAATTCCTCTATTAATTTAGCTGTTTCAATTTATATAAACTTCCTTTGAATGTGAATGTACATGCTCTGTGAACCTAATTTTCCTGTAATAGTTTTGTAGTTTTCTTAATGTGTGTGTCATTACAGGTTTTCACTTTGCAGGACAGGACTTTCAACCAATCAGACGTAAGGCCCATTCTGCTTGTCCTCCTCCAGAAGACAAGTCCAGGATGATGTCCAGGTTGCAGACTGTTGGGGAGGGGTGGATGTCATTGCCACTGATGGTGAGCACCAGATCTCCAGTCTTCTGGAGCAGTCTTCTGGTGGTCACAACCATGAGCTTTCTTTTGTTGCTGGTGAATTTGAGGAAGTTTGATGATAATCAGGTCCGAAGATCAGTAAGACAGTTGGAGAGACACTGAGGGGGGAGATGGGTGGAAGACTTGGTGGAGATGCAAAGCTGTGTATCGTCGGTGTATGAGTGGAAGTTGAGTCTTATTACTTACTTATGATTCGTCCGAGGGAGAGCGTGTAAGTAATAAACAAAAGTGGATGGAGCACAGAACCTTGTGGTACACTTCGGTCGATGAGAGCAGGAGGAGAGCGGGAGTCATTGAGGGAAATGAACAGTTGTTGGTGGGAAAGGTATGAGTGAAACCAGAAAAAGACTTTAAAGCCTCCCAGAGAATTGGTGCAATGGTGACTTGTCAGTGCATATGAAGACTGAATTTTTTTCACATTTTCACCTATTTTATATCATATTTTAGCAGAAATACGTTTTCTTAAATTCTCCATTAACATGAGTGGGATTCCCACTGTGACAGGTTAGACTGCTTATTTTACTAAAACACGGTTAAAATGATTATATTTAAGATTTTGCTAAAAATTGTAAAAAAAAAAAAAAATCCCAATTTGGCAGTTTTTTAGGTTTTTATTTCCTGGTTGGAATCATGACATCACACTATGGAATTCCATAACTCTCATACATAAGCATTTACTGCAAAGGAACTTAATGATGGTGTGTGAATGGTAAAACAATTGTTTTGGTACAAGTCACAGCTGCCAACATTTAGAATATGAGAGGGGGAGGAGTTTATAAGTTCACCCTTACTCCTCTTAGAGCATAATTGTACAACAGCACAATATGTACAATATGATTTCATGATAATATTCAGTATTTCTCAAATAAATGAACAGAACTGAAAAACAAACAACAACAAAAAAAAAACTGTTACCTAGGAACCATCTTATACACTAATGTACACAGAAATAAAGTTGTTTTATAAAAATAATGTTTAAATTCTTGAAAAATAAATAGTTTCTTGCGTGTAAATTGTGCCGATGGAATTTTTCCTGGTGTTTTGATTTAAATCAAAATACACATTTGAAATACATCCAGGAGCATGAACATTTGAGAAAAGACTTAAAATACAAGAATCCCATACTCATGATGCTAAAACACTGATTTTCACAGATTTTATCCTTATTTTTGTTTAAGATCTGTTGAACAGATCGAAAATTAAATAATATGCACATACAATAAAGTATAAGCATGGATTTAAAAATGTATTCAGAATGCATGAGATATTTCATTTGTAGAGGTCTACAGTACAGAGTAAACAGGTTTTTAGACATAATCAGTCATAAAATATTTTCTGAATGACAGTTTAATACCTGAATGACCACACATAATGGGATCTAGTGCAGTGGATACTGTCAGTCAAAATCCTTGCCTGGCAAATCCAGAATGACGCGTGTGAAACAAAGAAGCTCATTGGTCACCCATAATTTACAAACAAAATGACATTTCTTTGACCTCAGGTTAACAGTTTAGTTTTTAGTGTTTTAAACACAATGTAACCACAAAGAAGTGACTTAGCTGGAACTAGAACAGGTGAGATTATTTGTGCTGTTAAACAAGTTCCTATCAAATAACATTACAGTCACAATCTAACTAGTCACTCTCACCTTTTGTTGTCCAACTCCTAAACAGGACCACTGAAAGTGTTGATCACAGGGTCCTGAAAAAGTGTTGTTTAAATCCATTTTGTATTGTTGAGTTTTCAGATGATCTTAAAACTTATTTGACAGTGTCGTGTAAGGATACGTTGAGATAAGGCCAGTAGGTGACAAATGTGTTTTTAAAGTTACTTCTGCTAACATGTTACAAGTACCCCAAAACAAAAACAGCTAAGGCTTAACCCAAACCAGAGCCCTTTTCCACACCTTTACATAATCCTGTTCCTAAAGCAAACCCTAACCCTAACCTTAATCATAATCCTAACGATAACCATAACCAGTTTTCTAACCCTGTCCCAAAACTTCATCACTTCGAATGACCAATCGCAGTAGACCAGCCCGCCCCTCCTGACTTGACAGTCTACCATTAATCTTGTGTAATATGTAGACTGTGTCACCATGGTAACTGCTGAACATTGCTACACAGTCTTACATACATCTATGGGGTACATTTGTCTGTGTAGGGTACATTATGGGAATAGAGTCAGGTGCCCTTTTTAATGCCCTACCTTCTGTCTCCTCTGAGGTGAGTTTCCATGAACTGGTGCACCTTTCTCCATGCGTCCTCCTGGGCCACAGCGTGAGGGGCTGGCTGTCCACCCCAAAGAGCAAACACTAAAAAACATAATCAAGTCAATTACCTAAACATGTTTTAAGGTGCACTGTGAAACTCTTTGGTGGAGGTGCCTGTCACAATAATCATCTTAGGCTTATTTACGTTCCACTTTTGTAAACAGATCTGTGCGTTCCAAGTGTATTAACTTCCAAACGTTTCTAAAGTCAAAGCTGCATTCTCTTACACAACCAGCAGAGGGTGCACAAAGTCAGGTAGTGAACTGACAGTCTGTGACATTCTTTATACGATCTATGACCAAAACGGATGAAAAAGAGCAACAAATAAACAAACATGGAGGTACAAACAGCAGTTTTAGATTGCTTTTGTTGTACAAGAGTCAAGAAAAATTAGGTGAGGGAAGCATTTTTTAGCAATTTGTACTAGTCATGTTTTTTTTTTTTAAGTTTAGCTTCCAGTATGGAGCTGTGTTTATTACTGTCCCCAGTGGTCAGCTCAAGTACAGCTCCATGGCAAAGATTATGCATGTACTTATGACCTAGTGATGGACAGAGCTTAAAGGGATAGTTCAGGTTTTTTGAAATGAATCTGTATGGCATCCCCGTCAGCAGTGTGGTGCATCCACACTGACTTTACCTCCGAAAGCGTCCGGTGAGCCGAGATCCTGGCCGGTTTTGGTGCTGAGGAAAGTAGTTCGGCAAGTTGGCTGGGGACAGTCTAATAAAGCGTTTTTCTTCTCAAAACAATATGTGTTAAATAGAGTGATACATTTGTACCACAAAACCTCCGTCCTCTAAAAAGTCAGACCTCATAATCACTTGGCACTATTTTCTCTCCGTACGTATCACTGCGCGCCAGGTGACAGCCGCGCCTGTTTCACTTTGTTAACTGCTCGGAATGTCAGCAACAACATGTCTGACTACGACATCGATGATGAAGAAACTGATTTTAGCACAGAGCCAATGGGATATCTTTCTGAACCCGAATATACCAATGCCGAAATTCGCCAGAGAGAGTTAGACGAAATTAGGCAGAGAGAGAGAAGAGGCGAACATTCCGAGCAGTAAACAAAGTGAAACAGGCGCGGCTGTCACCTGGCGGCCGCGCGCAGTGATATGTACGGAGAGAAAATAGCGCCAAGCGATTATGAGGGCTGGACATTTTAGAGGACGGAGGTTTTGTGGTACAAATGTATCACTCTATTTAAAACATTGTTTTGAGAAGAAAAATGTTTTATTAGACAGTCCCCAGCCAACTTGCCGAACTACTTTCTTCAGCACCAAAACCGGCCAGGATCTCGGCTCACCGGACGCTTTCGGAGGTAAAGTCAGTGTGGATGCACCACACTGCTGACGGGGATGCCATACAGATTCATGTCAAAAAACCTGAACTATTCCTTTAAATGAGCCTTTATCGTTCAATACACGACAGATGGAACAATTATTTTGAGGGATCAGTGTGTATCGTGGGTGCTTTTTCTTTGTGCTAGTGGGACATTTTCAAACTAACTACTGTGTTACTGTGAAAGTGTTTCATTCTGCTATTTATTTACCAAACCAGGACTAGAACAGGACCAAATGAAGTCCACATCAGATTCAGGACTAAACTGGGAGCACAAACATGTGTAACATGCCTCTTAAAATGCTCTGGCAGTATTTAACAATAGTTGGCAGCACACAATAAATTTATAGCTATTTTAGACACAAAGCTGCTAATTAAAATGCAACTAAAGACCATGTACACAGTTTAGTTGTAAAAAGTGAATTTAGTTGAATCCCACGTTAAACATTTGATTTCATGAGGAAAACTGAATGTGGATTTCCTTTTCAGAGCCAGTAGTGCCTGTGTAGTGTGGTACTGGCACCAGTGGAGACAGACTCACCTTTCTTTGGTTTGACGGTCCACAGAGACATTCGGGCGCTGGGGGAAAACGGTGGCTCGACAAGGTGCCCGGCTCCAGGACACGACAGGCGGGTGAACAGGTGACCCTTACCACAGGCGTTTAGGGTCTGCTCCAGCTGAACAAGAGGAACAAGTGTTAGTGTTCCCATATTGATCAATCTACATTTTTTATTATATTTTCTTCCATCTTAGTAAAACATATACATGTGGACTTCTGGTATAAAGGGCAAGGTGTCAGGATCACTACAGTTTTTATTTTGTGTTGATAGGACCAATATTTTGCACGCGCACACAGAGGCAGAGGGAAAGAGACACTGGACTTTTACTCAAACTGTGCAGATTTAATTCAAAACTTGTGAACACGTGAGGAGACATCAATAGACACGCTGTGGCTCAGGTTGCTTTTTCCTAATCAAAAGAGTGTAAATCCTACTCAGCACCACACACTCTTACTGCCGCATGATTGGCTATGGACCTGTAGAAACAGAACTCCTGAATTCTAATGCCTGGTACGCTTCCATCTGTTAGCCCCAATACATGACTTAGCATTAGCCTACAAACATCACAAACTATGAAAAAGCAGGGTTGTGATTAACAATGTTTAAACTGTCCAAAAAATCGCTTCCTTGCATGATATCCCTACATTTTGGATGGAATTTTCTATGTTGATGACATAGGCAGAAGTATTCTGTTTTAGGACTTACTGCTACTTCCTCACTAATGAAAAACTATAATACAAGGGTAAACTGTGGCACTATTCCACTAAACCAAGTAATAATTGCAAAAACATGAAAACCATAGGCATTCGAACATAATAAATGGTGTAGTGGATTTTAGCCCTTACCAGATCTGCGTTCTCTTCAGGATACAAATTCAAATCATCCCCACTGACAATGTACAAGACCGGACAAGGAATCTTCTCCATCTCAAAAAACAAAAACAAAGTAAGAATCAGTAAAATGATAAAGCAGACTGACAAACACAAAATAAAATAATATAATGCATTACCTTGACTATGTGTGATGGTGGTAGATTCGCCGGGAGTGAGATGTCCTTGAAAGCGGCATGGCCATCATCGTTGAAATTCCAGCGTTTTTGGTTACTAAAACACAAATATAAAGTGCTCAGTAAATAAAATATGAGTGAATTGTCTTGCTAAAAAGAGGTAAACAGTTTCCCAGCACCAGCATCTTATAGCAGCAATATGTAACTTTTTGGTGGGGACCTGTACCTGCTTGTCAAAAATAACTTAACTACAGTTTATAGACAAAGAGACAAGCAGGTGGTGAACCCTCCACAGCAAAAGCACAACCACCACAGTTCTACTAGTAATTGTAAATAATGTACAAATTGAAGTCTTCAGCTCTCCCTTCATCATCAGTGAGTGGAACGATGCTGCCCACTGGTCCATTTATGCAAATCAAACAGGATGGCTGCAGAAAAAACATATGAGTCTTAAAGGTACTGTACTTGAGGTCCCATGATTTTGAGCAAAATTAGTTTAGCCCCAGTAAAGATATACTGTACAAACAGCTCTTTAAAATCAAAATAATTCCACTGTGTACTGTCTATAAAGACCCAAAGGCCAGAATAGGACCACATCAAGTCTAGATCAGGACTGAACTAGGCTCAAACCTGGACTAAAGAGAATACATTTGTGGCGTACCTTGACTTCAGGTAAAGTGGCTGTCCTCAGAGCCAGGTAACCTCCATAAGAAACGCCCACGATCCCCACTCTGTCCCGACAAATCTGATCATGATCCTGGAGGAACTTAAATGCTGCCTGTAAAACGATTTTATTATGAAATACCACACTGATCAAGTATAAATATTGCTAAAATTAATTAAATCATGCTTTCACAACAGAAAAATAGGTCATAACTAGTCTTGTCACAAGACTAAAAATGTATTTTGATGCTAAGTAATAGAATCGATACTCAATACCGATTCTGATACCACAATAATTAAAAACCTTTTTCTTTAGATAATAGAATGTGATTTTCACCAATAAATTGTACTTTATTTTATATTATAATGTGGTCTTATATGTGTGTAATCCCTCAGTGGTCCAGGTAGGTTCTAGTGGTCCATGGGTGTATGTTAGTCTCTGTGCTCTTATGTTCTGATATGACTCAAGATCATTCTAAAGCTATTCAGGAAAGGTCCATTTCTGTCCTGTGAATGTGACTTTTTTAGTATCAATACCTGCTCAACTGAGTATCTGAAGTGCTGTGAAAAAAAAAGTAAAAGTATTTGCCCCCTTAACAATTTCTTACTTTTTTTTGCACTTTTGTCACTTTTAGCCATTTCAGATCAAGCAAACTTAAATATTAGACAAAGATAACTCACAGGTAAACACAACATGCAATTTTAAGTGCCAATTTTATTTATTAAGGGAAACAAAGCCATCTGAACCTACATGGCTCATGTGAAAAAGTAACTGACCCCTAAACCTAATAAATGGCTGATCCACCCTTAGCAACAACAACTGCAGTCAAGTATTTGAGATGACTGCCAGTGAGTCTTTCACATCACTGTTGAGGAATTCTGGCCCAATCTTCTTTGCAGAATTGTTTTAAATCAACTAAACTGGAGGGTTTCCGAAGGCATGAACTGCCTTTTTAATATCATGCCACAGCATCTCAGTTGGGTTCAGGTCTGGACTTGGACTAGGCCACTCCATAACCTGTTTCCTTATTCTGTTTTTAAGCCATTTAGAAGTGAACTTGCTGGTGTGCTTTAGACCATTTTCCTGCTGCTGAACCCAAGTGCACTTCAGCTTGAGGTCACAAACTGATGGCCAGGCATTGTCTTTCAGGATTTGTTAGTAGACAGCGGAGTTCATGGCTCCTTTGCTGTTGGCTTTGGTGTCTGCAAAGCGTGTGAGTGACATACATGTGCTGTCTGTCAATGCGTCATGCTTGCAATTTTAACCCGACTTTGTCATGCCTCTCCATTGAGCTGTCTGCGTTTTCTCCTCTATCCTTTTCAGAGGAGCATCAGCAGCTCCATGCACTCTGTCCAGTGCGCACACTGCACATTTATGTGGACTGGTCATTTTGGGGAACTGAGCAGTTATTTGTGTCTTGGTCTCCAACCCATCGGGGGAAAACCTCTCACTAAACAGCGTTTGTTTCACTGGATAGGAGAAGCTATATAACCGTGGCTCATGACAGCAGTGGGCTTCAGCGGGTCTGCACACTCAGTCCACTCATAGCTGGATTCATGGCTACATCTTGGGCAATGCTCTGGGGCACCTCGGTGGAGGAGATCTGTGCGGTGGTAGTCTGGGCTACACCTCACACCTTTGCCAGGTTTTATAGACTGGATGTCACTAGGCCCTCACTATCTCAGAATATTCTGAGTGTGGGAGCGCCGCCCCGGGTGCCTCAAGACCTGATTGGTCTTAGTTTAAGCTTGTTTGGCAATACGGGAGTTTCTACATCCCATATGTGAGATACTGAAAGAAATGTTGAAAGGGGACTTTAGGTTAAGAAATAAACCCTGGTTCTCTGAAACCTGAGTGCGGTATCTCACCAGACTGCCCTTCTTTAAGATAAGACAAAATCAAGTGGGTCTGGTCAAGCGGTAACGGAGGGAAACAGGCAGATTTTTTACATTCAAATAGCTCTTATTCAGAAACTAGAGGGACTATTGAAATAAGTAAGGTATTAGAATGTAGGAAAGAGTTAGCACTCCAACAGGGTAAAGTTAACCCTGCAAAATCTTTCAAGTTGTTGACAAAAAATGTAAAAACTCATGTCGGTAACGGAGGGAATGAAATATGCAGCACTTTTTGGGCAATAAATACAAACAGTGATAACTACCGGTTCTCACTTACATATCCTTGACAAACTGGTTTGAATATTTGCTTAATATAGTTTTCTACCATATGGTTGATTAATAGATTAGATAGATTAGGTTGGTGGTAATGGAGTGAATGGATGCTAATGGAGGGAAAAGTAACAGAGAGAGCGGGCGGCAGTAGCTCAGTTGGTAGAGCATTCGCCCACTGATCTGAAGGTTGGCGGTTCGAATCCAACTCTCGACATAAACATCACAGGTTGACCGGTCAGATCCACTGACCCACAGGTTGGCTGGTGTGATTCCAGCTCCCACAGATGAATGCTGCTGTTGTGTCCTTGGGCAAGACACTTAACCCACCTTGCCCACAGTGTCTGCGTACACTGGTGTATGAATGTGTGTGTGAATGGGTGAGTGGTTCCTTGTTGTGAAGCGCTTTGAGTGCCTTGAAGGTGGAAAAGCACTATAGAAAAATGTGACCATTTACCATAATTGTGCAAGCAAGTAGAAGGTGCATAATTTGTCAGCTTTTTTCTTCTGAATACTTTAATATTACTTCAAAATGAAAGGAAACTATTTCTATAAAATATGTCAGTCCTTCCAAGCAAATTTTTATCATTTAAAAATTTTTTTTTTTGAAAAATCATGTACCTTCAGCAACAGTTCAAAGATCGAATAACACAAGATATGATGAAATACATCAATTTATTTACATGATTTGTAGGTCTTTGAAATTTGGGAAATAATTTTTGTTCCATGTTACATACATGGTATGTTTAAAACGTATGGAACTTTAGAACCAAAAATGGCACAGAAAAAAGGTAAACAGTTTCATAAACTAGAGCACACTTTCAGAAAGATTTGTGTGCATAGGATAGAAATCTGTGCATATTTGGGAAGTTTGTGAATATTTGGCTGTAGTTGAGCATAAAATAAATATTCATCAACTCTCGAGGTGTTAAGGCTTGGCAGGCCAATACACATCCTTTGTGAGGAGGAAATCCAAACAAATTAATATGGAAAGATTCATTGTAAGACACCCTCATGGTCAAGCAGATTTGGACATGGATGACAGAACAATGACAATGGCACAGGACAGCATTGTAACTAGGGTCTGCAGCTGTGGGAAGGTCTACAAAAATGAAAAAGGTCTCAAGATACATTAGAGTAAAATGGGTTGCCTTCACCACTGAGATGTGCAATGTACAGGGCAACCTGGTGAGATGGAGGAGGAGCTACGTCAGGTGTCTAACCACAGTGCTCAGAACTTCCAAGCACACAATGAGTCTGGTTGCAGCCAGTCCACAACTACTGCTGTATCACAAGACCAACATCAAGAAAGGGAGACCAGCAATGGAGAGCACCAAGCAGTACCACTAAGCAAGGGAGTAGGTTGGAAGCCAGGTTCACTCCTCAGGATGTTTTTTGCTAGATTTTTTCATTATTATTTCCTGTTATCTTATATCTTGGGCCATCACAAGTTGAGAGGGACCAACCCTAACTCAGCCTCGCTTGGTCTCAGGGCCCAAAAAACACCCTTTTTAGAAAAAGCTATTTGCAAAATTATGTAACTGTAAATATTAAGGTACTGCAACCGCATAAATGGTCAAATAACCCTAAAATTGTGCATGGTGTATCCTGACACATGGGGGAAACTAGCAGAAAAATATTCTGGGGTTTGGTGCCTTTCTACTGTCAAACATCACCATCAACATACCCCAAAAAGACAAAAAAAAGTCTGTCCGCCTGACAAATTGTCATCAAAAGGATAATTTGCAAGCATTTTATTGCATATATCACTGCCTCAAATGTACATGAAAAACTTCCCAAGTTTATAAGCTTCAATTTAAGCCAAAGATGACCTTTGTATCTAGAGGGAAACAGGTGCTATGACCAAAGTTCTTCACTGTACCTCAAATCGGCGGAAAGCAGAACTTTCAGGCATTACCATTTCATATGGGATTAAGTATGATTTTTTTCATAGAAACAATATTTGAAAAGAGTTGACGTATGTCCTGCTTTACTGTATGAAATGAATTACATTAAAAGTGAATAACATTAATTACATTAAAAGTGAATAATGTTAAAACTCAGGGTCAGGGTGGAAGATAAAACTATGGTAACCAGGATACACATACAAACACACACAACCCACTCACTAACCAACCAACATCCCATCAGAAGCTATTTTCCAAAGACAATTGTGAGAGAAGCTGATACATTTTTCTGGTTATAAAAAGAGACTGAGTATGTTGGGAGACTGGTGTGCTTTTCTAGATGTCCACGACTAGACTGATAACATTAGCTATTGTCAGATTGTTAGATAACAACTAACCCAATGGAGCTACTGGTGAGAGTAAAGGTGGGAGACAAATTATGGTGTGCATGTGTGTGCGTGCACATGTCTGTGTAATATCATCAGTAGGATCATCAGCCTCTGTTTGAGACCAAACTTCAATGAAATTGGAAACACTGGGTCTCAGTTCTTGTATATTTACACATTATTTCATTGTTGTAATGAATACACTGATTTTCAGAATGGTGTAATACAACAATACACTATCTAAAGCAGACAACATGCCAAAGAAATGACAAAATGATGAAGACTGGACAGCTTGTCAAACTTCCTCAAAGCAGAAACCTCCACCTCAAAAATTTGTCAGGCGGACAGACATTTTTTTGTCTTTTGGGGTATGCTGATGATGATATTTGACAGCAGAAAGGCAGCAAGCCCCAGAATATTTTTCTGCTAGTTTCCCCCATGTGAGTTGGGTTTGGTCCCTATCAACTTGTGATGGCCCAAGATATAAGAATATAGGAAACAATAGTGAAAAAAGGTAGCAAAAAACATCCTGACGAGTGAACCTGGCTCCCGGCCTAGAGGAGAAGTGAGGAAGGAACCAGTGAAGTGGCCAATCGCACCGGCTAGGAAGGAATGAGTGTTAAGTACTTGATGTAGACCAAGTACTTGAATCTGTCTTTGCAAGCAGTATAGACCAGAAATTCGAGGCAATGTCCATAATCATTTGGAATATGGGACAAAATCTGTTTGGGGTAGAGCAGAAAAAGACAAAAGGACAACATGTGAGGCAAATTGACGAACAAGAAAAATTGCAAACTTACAAAGGGATCTGAACAGGTTGCGGAAGGCCTTTCATCAAGCACAGGAGGATAAGAAGCCAGCCTATTCAATGTTGCACAACCACCCTTGGGACAGAATTAAGACCCTGCATTGTGCTGAGTGCCAGTGAAAGGATAGAAGGTGATGATCTAAGTTTATCCAAGTCCCCTTCAAGTACTTGACAAAACTCCTTGGAGGTAAGAGATCTGGAGTGCTAGAAGAATCAAAGGAGGAGATCGAGGACTCTCTGTGGAATACACACAATGATCCAAGAAGGGAAGAACCGCTTGACTTGGGTAACAAGTTGTGTAGGCCAGAGGAGCCAGAGATACCCTTTGACAATACAGAGCCAAGATGGCAGGAGTTGAATGACTTTATCCGAAAGGCTAGAGGACGATCTACCCCAGGACCTAATGGAATCCTGTATAAAGTGTATAAGAGTTGTGAAACATTGAGGGAACACCTATGGAGATTGCTGAAGGTTGCTTGGAGGAAGAAACATCTGCTGGAGTGCTGGCTTGTTGCAGAAGGGTGTGTCATTCCCAAAGAGGAAATGTGTGGAGGAAATGTGGAGGGAAAGGTGTTTTTTTCTAGCAAAGAGTTCCTGATGCGTAACAACTACATTGACATAGCAGTACAGAATGGTGGAGTTCCATGGACGCTAGGGTGTATGGAGCATAAGGCAAGGCAGGCAAGACAAGTTTATTTGTATAGCACGATTTCTACACAAAGTAATTCAAAGTGCTTTACAGAATAAGAAATACATTAAAATCATAATAAAAACAAATCAAAACACAAATAATCATAAAGATAAAAATTAAATACAGACATAAATTAGGGAGAAGAGTGTGGAATGAAACCCTTTCAGTTATATAATATATATAATATACACTATTATTATATTATATAATAGTGTTATCACCTAAATAATTGAGGATGCTAAGAATAATCAAGGTGAGCTGGCTGTCCTATGGCTGGATTTGACTAATGCTTATGGAACAATACCACACAAGCTTGGCGATGCCACCTACCATGTCCCAGAAAGCATCCAGCGGCTTCTCTCGGATTATTTCAGCCGCTTCAAAAAGCGCTTTACCTCTGGCAATTTCACCACCAAATGGCAGTGACTGGAGGTTGGCATTGTCACCGGCTATACTATCTCAGTCATTTTGTTTGCAGCAGCAATGAAACTCCTTGTGAAGTCCGTGGAAAAACCTAGACGAGGTGCCATACCTGCAAATAGAGTTCAGTATGCCCTGATAAGGGCCTTTATGGACAATCTTACAATTACAGCAAGATCAGTGGCAGAAGGTAGATGGATCTTGGAGGATTTAGTAAAGCTTACTGAAGCTGCCAGAATGCAGTTCAAGCCATCCAAGTCATCGCGAAGTGTTGTTTTAAAGAAAGACAGTGTCCAGGATCGGTTTAATTTCAGGATAGGTGAAGAGATTATCTAACTGTGACAGAAAAGCCAGTAAAGTGTCTGGGAAAATGGTACAGAGCTGAGCTAAATAATAAGGCAAGTGTGAAGGAAATGGCCAACCAAGCAGAAATATGGATGAAAGCCCTGGAGAAGAGTGGCCATCCAGGAAAGTACAAGGTCTGGGGTTACCAGCACGGAGTACTTATAAGACTCCTGTGGCCCTTGCTTGTGTATGAGGTCCTTCTTTCAACAGTAGAGCTTTTGGAAAGTAAAATAAACAACTATTTGAGGAGGTGGTTGTCCATTCTCAGGAGTTTTTGCTCTATTGGCCTGCACAGGAAGCAAGCTTCAACTGCCTGTTGTTGAGAGGTTTAAGAGCGCAAAATTAGCTATGATGTTGCAAGCTAGTCAGGACGAAGCAGTTCGACAGGCAGACGGCAGAGTACATACAGGGTGGAAGTGGATGGCCAGTGAGGCATTGAGAAAGGCAGAAGAGCACCTGCAACAGAGACATTGAGAAATTGTGGGAACAGTTAAAAAGGGGAGAATGGGCCTTGGTTGCATCACAAGGGCAAGTTGGAAGGAGGAAAATCAGAAAGATTATCAGAGTATGGTGCAGAGAGAGGAGTGAGCAGTACACAGCAGGACACATTGGGAAAGTGCCAGGGAAAGGTCTCTAAATTGGCCAGAGCTCTGGAACATGGAGGAACAGCAAATATAGTTTTTGCTTTGCTCTGTTTACGATGTGTTACAGACACCAGTGAACCTCCAGAGGTGGAGATTGACTGAAAATCCACGTTGTAAGCTATGTGGGAGAACAGTCAACCTAGAGCATGTCATCTTGCCAGACTGGCTTGACAGAGGGGAGGTTTTGATGGCAGCATGACCAGGTGTTGGCCCAACTGGCTGAGGGATTGGAGAAAGAAAGAAAGAAAAGGAGGACTGGACCCGATACCAAAGGACCCCAGTTCATCACTTTCTTTAGACCAGAGGAGGTGGCCGGGAAAGACACTGGCACTAAGGGGATTTTCACATCTGCAGATGGACAGGGACATGAGAGCAGATCTTGAAAGACATCTTAAATTCCCAGCAGGGATTGTTGAAACCAACCTCTGGCCCAGTATTGTAATTTGGCCAAAGACAACCAAAGAGGTGGCTCTTGTGGAATTAACCTTACCCTGGGAGTAAAGGATTGAGGAGGCACATGAGCGAAAGCAAGGGAAGCATCAGTCCTTGGTCTCTGAATTCCTACAGAAGGGCTGGTAATCTTGGAACCTGCCAGTGGAAGTGGGTTGTCACGGTTTCAGTGTCAAGGCGCTTGGGGCCCTTGGAGTGAGAGGTCCTGCCCGTAAGACGCTGACAGGGAATTTCACTAAGCGGGCAGAAACCGCATCAAGATGGCTTTGGCTTATGAGGAACGAGCAATGGTGCAACCAACGTAGCAGATGAAAGGGAGCATAGAGTTGAGTGGAGAAGATCAGAGGGATGGAGGAAATGGTTCCAGGATGCTGGTTCCGCCGTCAAGCCCCCTGAGGTGTCGTGGGCTAACTGATGAACACCAGTGAAAGGGGGTGCCCACCCAAAGACCAACAAAGTCCCAAAGATTTAAATTTCTCTGCTCCAGAAAAAATATTTGTGATTTATTTTAGGCCAGCCGCCCACAACTATGAGGAGTAATCCCACCAAGTGTGGTGACTGCGATGTGGCATTGTTTTATAGATTATCCAGTCATAAATAAAATATAAAGTGTGTATTTTATCCATACATAATACAAACTGAAAAGTGTCAACATCAAGAAGTACAATCACAAAATTAAAATGTACGATAATGCTTTCTTCAGTTGAATATGAATTCACAGATACAACTTTACTTAACTTTCAAACATACGTCATCACTTCACAGGCATTATTTATTGAGCAGAAGAAACATCGATGGAGATGCAGGACTTTTGCACTGCATACGGACTGAACCAGGACTGAACCAGGACTAAAACAGGACTAAACCAGGTCTAAACCAGAACAGAACCAGCACTTGAGTGTCGGGATGGGCCCGGAGATGTGCCCACGTATAGTCCTGGTTCAGTCCGTATGCAGCGCAAAAGTCCGATATCTCAATCGATGTTTCTTCTGCTCACTAAATAATGCCTGTGAAGTGATGACGTATTTTTGACAGTAAAGACATGTCCGTGAATAATATGCACGGATTTCCCAAATATGCATGAATTTCTATCCTATGCATGAATATATTTGAAAGCTTTCTTACTCCATAGATTTCTGTCTCACCTTGAAGTACGTGTTCCCAACATTGATTGTATTTAGCGGCCCGGGCAGATCCTTGTGCCCAAGGTATGTCAGGGAGAAGCTAGCATAGCCTCTGGATGCTAACAAAGCCGAGCGGTACTCCACCAAACCTCCTGCTATCCCCCAAAGATCTAAAATGGCCGGGAATGGACCAGGACCTGCAAAAATGCATACAGTGTTTAATAATTTAATAAATGGAAAAGTTTCAGAGTGCACCTCTTTTAGTGTGTGCTGCCTCCAGAAACACCTGGCTTCAGGGGCAGTGTGGATAAGTGTTAGCAGTGTTGGGCAGTAACTAGTTACAAAGGAATACTGCAATCTCATTACTTTTTTAGTAATGTGGCCATGTAACTATTTATAATTGAAAATTGAGTAATTAGATTACAGTTACTTGGCCCAGTAACTTTTAGTTACCTTTTCCCTGCTAAAAATGTGTGTAATTCACAGAAGTGTGTTGTAAAACAGATGAACAGGTGCATGGGATGTCCTCTTCTGATGTCAGAGGCAGATCAGCCCTAGCAGATTAGTGGGAAGAATTCATGTTTTTTGTAAAAAAAATTTCCTGAATTGTATGTTTCTTACTGTAAGTAACTGTTACTGTAAGTAACTTATTTTAATTAGTTATCAAACTACTTTCGAAATAAAATAATCAGATTAGTACAAAAAACAAAGGGTGAGCACATCACTGGACCAAATAAATATTAGGCAGGTGCTCTTCAAGGATCCAGGAAAGAAAAAAGAAGGAGATCTTCTAAGTGGTCTTCTTAGGGACTTCCCTTTATTTCTGCCCCAAAGAAGACCACTTGCATGGTCGAAAGACATCGGCATGTCTGATTAGCTTAAATAAAGGTCTTCTACAATCAGAGTACCTTGGCTCTCCTCCTATTTCTTTCTAAGATGAGTACAGTAATTTAATTAGTCTTAGTAGGAGTAGTCAGTAGTCAGTAAAAAGACCCGGTTACTTTGAATCTGTGTAAAAACAGGACTTGTGTCTGATCACCTGGGGGTAGGAATAAGGTCCCTACAAGTCCATTTTGTCGGATCTCGATCCTCTTAACCCCTGGAGCCATGTACCAGCGCTCAGTGGAGATGGAGGCCAGCTCTGTGCGCTCTGCTCCCCGATGGCTTGGAGAAACGTGACCCTCCAAAACAGACACTTTAAACACATAGGGAGTGTGCATGTTCCTCTTTCTCAACCTGTGGACAAACCATAGATTGTATAAGTGAAGTGGAATAAGTGAGTGTGATGTCATAGCTCACAGCATTTGACTGCAACCAAATAAAATTTATTGAGGCTGGCAGTTACAGTGGCAACTGCAACCAAGGCTCGCAGGAACCACTTTGCACCCACCACTATTAAAGGTGCACTGTGTAACTTTAGTGGTGGAGAGTATGCCAAAAAACAATTGTGAGTAAGGTCCCCTCTCCGCATATCTGACCTGTAACTTAGCCTGGTGGCAATACCTGCTTGTCTACATGGAAATAAGTAAGTAGCTAATACTGTGGAACATTCTAGTCAAAGTTGAAATATCTCCATGGAGATAAGAAGGCGATGTATATACAGTGCATATTTACAAAAAAAATAAAATAAATTTAATGATAATATTCAGATAATATTTTTGCAATCTTTCAGAAATATCTTTATTCATATTTTTGTAGGTATGACCAAAATGTGCCTGGTATGTAGCACAAAACGTGACAATTGGGTTTAGAGCTAGTAGTTAAAGCATATACTAGTATAGTAGTTTCCTCTGGTTCATTATTGATGCTCTCGTTGACTCCTGTATCCATGGTTACAGCAGGTTAATGCTGTAGCCATGGGTTTTCTTCACCTGCCTTAGTCCCTCTCTCTCTCCTGGAGCCGGAGCCAGACTCCAGAACAGCCCCATCGGTTCACAGCCGACGAACGAGCCCCCCACTGAAGAATGTGTGCACACTAAAGAGGAAGAGACAGAGGAGAAGGAAGTCAAACATATCTGATCACATCAGAGTCAAAGTCACCACATAAAATTTTTTAATTATATATAAGTTATACTGAAATGGAAATTAGAGGCATTTACAGACATAATCAGGGTTTGCATGTGAAGAATGATGGAATCTGAAGTCATGAAGAATAAGCCTGTTTAAACACAATCAGGGGTGTTTTTTTCAGACCAAGTGCCCAAATCAGCATCAATTTTGACAATAGTGGAGGTTTTGTTCTGTTTTTCCCAAATGGTAAACATTCATTGACATAGTTAACATGCTAGCTGCAGTATTCCAAATAGGAAGTGAGCATGGGCGCAAAGTGGTTCCTTTGAATCCTGGCCACCCTCCCTGCTGTCTGGCTTAAAATGTTAAAATGGTTGAACCCTACATGCTAAATCAATATACAGTGTTTATCAGTGTGTTTTTGTATTAAAAGTGCAATATGTAACTTTTCTGGTGAAGAGTTCACCACCTACTTGTCTCCGGGAGACTGCTTTGCCTAGAATGTTCCACAGTATGGCATTATATTAAACTTACCTATCTTCAAGTCAGATCTCTGGAGAGACAATCTCGGTCACAGTACTGCAACTGCAACTTCATTTAAAACACGCTTTGACCAACATGCTACAAAAATAACTAAAAAAAACAACAACATATGTATAAAAACATCCATTCATTCATTTTCTTCCACTTTATCCGAGGCCAGGTCGCAGAGGCAGCAGTTTGAGCAGGGAGACCCAGACTTCCCTGACCACACACATGTCCTCTAGCTCTATGTGTAATTGAATAAATGCAATATAGACATTATATTATATATATTTGTTTGCCAAAACAAAAATATATTGTACAATATACAATATATAGCACAGTATAAGTGACTGGATTGGTATCAGTAACATTCCTAGAGTCCATCTTGAGTTTTCTATTGAATTAAAAACTGAATACAATATTTGAACTCACAGTCAACAGTTCCCTCTGAGTCTGTGTTGTAGTGTGCGTAGGACTGCCACAGGTCTCCGTCCTCACAGAACATCTGAGTGGACAAAGTGACCGGAGCCAGAGGGGGCAGGAAACGGGCTCTAATCCACATCTTTTCATCAACGAGCGCCCTGCAGGGGTCAGCAGAGAGCAGAGGGCCAGGTCTGAGGCTGCTGCCTTGTCGAAAATTCACCAAAACACCTGAAGAAAAAAAGATATAACTGGTCACGTTTATGATGAGATGAACTGGATCTCAATTTTTAAACAAATATGTTTTTTTTTTTTTTTTTTCACCAGTTTACACTGAACCAACACAAATCTGCACAGAAGCAACACAAGAGAGAGCTTTTTGCACAATAACATTTGGCATCATCATAATAACTGTATTACATTTGTCTGATATATATATATATATATATATATATATATATATTATATATATATATATATATATATATATATATATATATATATATATATATAAAAAAATGTGTTTCTCACCTTCCACGGTGGTAGGTCTCTCTCTCACCCTCATTCAGCTCGGGTCCTCTACCAGAGGCCTGGGAGCTTGAGAGTTCTGCGCAGTATCTTTGCTGTTCCCAGTACTGCACTTTTCTGGACTGAGATGTCCATTGTGTTTTTCCCGGTATCTGTTGAAGCCACTCTTCCAGTTTGGGGGTTACAGCCCCGAGAGTGCTCCGATCACCACAGGCACCACTGATGCCTTTACTTTCCAGGCTCTCTCCAGCTCTTCCTTGAGCCCCTGGTATTTCTCTAGCTTCTCGTGTTCCTTTTTCCTGATATTACCATCGCTTGGTATTGCGATGTCCACCACCACGGCTCTGCTCTGTTTCTTATCCACCACCACTATGTCTGGTTGGTTCGCCATCACCATTCTGTCAGTCTGTATCTGGAAGTCCCACAGGATCTTGGCTCGGTCATTCTCCACAACCTTTGGAGGTGTTTCCCACCTTGATCCTGGGGTCTCCAGCCCGTACTCTGCACAGATGTTTCTGTACACTATGCCCGCCACTTGGTTATGTCGCTCCATGTATGCTTTCCCTGCCAGCATCTTACACCCTGCAGTTATGTGCTGGACTGTCTCAGGAGCCTCTTTGCACAGTCTACACCGTGGGTCTTGTCTGGTGTGGTAGATCTGGGCCTCTATTGCTCGAGTGCCCAGGGCCTGCTCCTGAGCAGCCAGGATCAGTGCCTCTGTGCTGTCCTTCAGACCAGCCCTCTCAAGCCATTGGTAGGATTTCTTGATATCAGCCACTTCAGTTATGTTCCGGTGGTACGCCCCATGTAGGGGTTTGTCCTGCCATGATGGTCCCTCCAGCACCTCTTCCTCTGGACCCCACTGTCTGAGACATTCTCTCAGCACCTCATCTGCCGGGGCCTTGTCCTTGATGTACTCAAGGAGCTTGGATGTTTCATCCTGGACAGTGGTTCCCACACTCACTAGTCCTCGGCCCCCTTCCTTCCAGCCTGCGTACAGTCTCAGGGTGCTGGATTTGGGATGGAACCCTCCATGCATGGTCAGGAGCTTTCGTGTCTTAACATCTGTGGTCTGTATCTCCTCCTTTGGCCAGCTTACAATCCCTGCAGGGTATCTGATCACTGGCAGGGCGTAGCTGTTGATTGCCTGCACCTTGTTCTTGCCATTGAGCTGGCTTCTAAGGACTTGCCTCACTCTTTGCAGGTATTTGGCCGTAGCCGCTTTCCTTGTTGCCTCTTCGAGGTTGCCACTTGCTTGTGGGATACCAAGGTACTTGTAACTGTCCTCAACGTCTGCTATTGTTCCCTCTGGGAGTGACACCCCCTCTGTGTGGACTACCTTCCCTCTCTTTGTCACCATCCTGCTACATTTCTCAAGCCCGAATGACATCCCAATGTCTGTACTGTAGATCCTTGTGGTGTGGATCAGTGAGTCGATGTCTCGCTCACTCTTAGCGTACACACACACACACATATATATATATATATATATATATATATATATAAAATGCTAATTCTGGTCGACCAACAACTGATTAAAAACAGCTAAAGGCCAACAGCTCTAGCAAAGATTTTTTAATATCTTGTAGTCCTACACTGAAATATGTCAATGTGCAGCCTTACCCAGGGAATGGTGCAGCTTTGTAAATGTTGAGTGAATTCGCAGCCATGGGGTCATCATCTCAGACTTCACACCAGACACGGCTTCTCTCTGTGTTTAATGAACAAATGAGACTACACTAAAATAGTAAAACACGTGCTTTGACATTTATTAAACCCCAAAGAAGTGAAACAAGTGCTACAAATATGAGCTTTGAACATAACAGGCTAAGACCAGTCATATTACACACACACTCACACATACACACAAATTCTACCAGAACAAATCCATAAAACCCACCATATATAAATTCATCTCAAAATGACTATCATCAAATCTGCCAATCAAATCAAATAATTACTGATCCTATATATTTTTTTAAAACAGAGCTTTTAGCCATGTAAGAATGCTATTGCTTCCTCAAAAACAGGTCTCGATTTGTGTTTTGTTTCAGTCACACATTTGAGTAACTTCTATTATTAGTCTTTTTGCATCCCTAATCTTATAATGCTTCCAGCTTGTGATGTCATGTAGTGGTAGTTTTTATGTTAACAGCTACCTTTTATCTTTTGTCTATTTTATTGATTGACTGATTGATTGATTGATTGATTGATTTGACAGGAACATTGCACAATAAATTGCACAGACCAGATTAAGGTACAAGCTCATTTTCATGTGTAGTCCCTGGGCAGAGGCAGATGGACAGCAGGTAACACTGTGCAGGGACTTGATTGATTGATTGATTTGTTTTGGTCACAGGGATATTCTGACATTATTTCACAGACAGTCATATTTAACATACACAGACCAAAAACGTATAGGCCCATGAACATTTAAAATACAGCTAAAAAACAAACACCAACAACCAGTCACCAGCAGAGGGAGCAGCTGATCAACGCTCCAAATACAAATGTACAAATATTTACATATATACACCATTCCTACAAACAGATGATCACTAATGGCTACAGCCCTGACTCTCTGTAAGTCACACTGAATTCCAAATGTCTCAAAGAGCTACACTCCCTCACACATACAGGTAGGGAGTTCCAGGCCCCTGTCGCTATAACAGAGAAGCAGTACTGTCCAAACGTGTTGGACCTAACATGTACGTCACAGTCTCCTCTAGAGGAGGCTCTGGACCTCCTGACCGCTGCTTCTTCACACGATCTCACAAACACTTTTAGTGGGGGTGGGGGCTCCTGGTTGTAAAAAATCTTATAAGACACAAGACTAAGATTGGCAAAGAGGATGGCATTCTCAGATGTTAACATTTAATATTTTTAACAATATTGCAGTAATGAGTAAAGAGTTTGTTACCAGTGATCATGTTGTAATGCAATAACAAACCATTTGTGTTATGGAATGTGTATTATGAAATGTGCGTGAATGAAACAAATCACAAAACTCCAGGTATGTTTTTGACGAGAAACATTTTAACAGATTAGAAAATAGTTATCTATGGGCCCTTCAACATAGTTGGTCAGTCATTTTTAAATATCCAAAGTTGGAAGAGAGAGAAACGGAAATAGCTAATGGGTAATTTATCATCTTGACCTATGTATTTAATTATTTATTCAGTAAATTATAATGCAAAAATACACAATAATAACATATGAGAATAAACAAATAATAAATGAAGCAATTCCTTCAAATGTATTATCCTCAACTAACCAACTAGGTTTTCAGCGCATCTTACTTAAATTGTGTTAGATTTCGTTTACTTACTTGTGTTAATGCAATATGGTATTTCTCGTCGGTTTCACGAAGTTAAAAGTTTGGCAAAAAAGTTAAATGTGGCCAAACCTGGTCCGAACTAGTAGTAGCGCCACCTGTTGCGACACTTGACCAGACTCAGAAGGTGGCGATAAACTACAACAAGGATATCTTTCTACTTCCGGGTCACACGCCGGTACTTCCGTGTTTTCATCGTAGCTTCATGTGGCTAAAATCAGGCCTAAATCTCTGAAATCAAGTTAAAATACGGACTGACCAACACTACAGTTTATTCTACACGATTCTTAAGGTTTGTATGAACTTGTTTAATGGTAAAATGTGGTGATTTCCATTGTTTTGAAATATTTTCGGCTCTTCTCGTCTTCCGTGTTGTTGTCCCGTTACACGAAGTCACTATTTTATCGCATATGTTTGGTCGATAGGGCTGTTTTAGTCACATTTAGCTTCGTGGAGTAAAACTGTCAAAGGGTAAACAGTGCTGACAGTGATTTTACAGGTATTTTTTTCTATAAACTGTTATTCGCTTTGATAGATTACTAAATAAAGCCTTTTGCTATCTATCAAAATCAGTGCGCGTCTTCGTAATCCTTTGAACGGTTGTCTTTTATCTAAACTAGGGTGACCAGACGGCCTTATTTACCTGGGACAGTCCTAGTTTTGAGCCCTGTGTCCCCTGTCCCTGCAGATTTATCTAAAACCACTGATTTGTCCCAGTTTTATACAAGAAATGTCCCAGTTGTCCCTATTTTTGACGATTCTGATACCTGCAAATAGTAAAGTAAAGCTGCTAAAAGTGACTAAAACACAGACAAAATGTGACTATATTGAGTCACATGGGTCGAGGGCATAACGATTTTCCTTTATTACGCACTCGTTTTACAATTTTATTATTACAACCACCACAAACCAGGATGTCTCAGTTTTTGATTTTGATAAACTGGTCACCCTAATCAAAACAGCATTAGTTAGAGTTAAACTCATTTCTTTTGAGATTAAGTTTTCATTTTATCATTTATTTATTTACACTGGTTTCATTGGCTTGTCTTAAAGTTTTTGTTTTCTTACTTCAATTGAGAAGTGAGAACCTATTGGAGTAAAGGGCTGTACAGTGTATTACATTTAACGAGATTTAGTCTGATTGCCAGGTATCATCTTGGGCCTTTTTTTTTTCTTGGACATTCAATGCTCCATCGGTAAGCATGTGGTTTAGAGGACAGTTAAGTTTTTGTGTTAAATGGCAAGCTTGTTTTATTTTAGTTCAGGATTGAAAGCTTTATTTTTATTTGTTTTTAATAACACAGCATAGAATTGTGTAGAAAAATGTGATCAATCAATGGCTGGGTTTCAGATGAAATCAAAACATTCTATAGGCCTTTATTATTTAATACAGATGGGGGTGAGCTAAAGTTAATATAGATGAATTGCAGATTTGTGTGGGAATACAGTGAGTTCTTGAGTCAATTCCCTAAAGGAAATGATCAGGTTCAACATTTATGAATTTACCTCTTGGTTATTTTATGGCAAGTACAATGTTATCAACAGGAAAAACTGGAAGTACCATTTGACATCATCACATTGTAGAATGTGAAAACCACCAATATCAGTAAACTTTGCTTGCTTTGTTGAGGTGTGTGGTTGTATTGTACATTAAAATCAGTAAGATTAGGTCAGATAGTGGACAGTGTGAAATTTTCTTATTGTTGACTGAAAGTAATTGCATTGTATAATTTCTTTGTGTAAGTCAAGGACTGCAGAATCTAGCTATTTCACTCTAATCTGGTGTGGAACATCTCTTTTCTTCTGATCTCAATGTCTCTGTACATTGTCCCTTCAAACAAAAACTAAACTACAAAATGTAAACAATTAGTGATGAATATTTTTGTCATATCCCTTAGACCTACATAATAACCGTGATCAATGCTGTTCTCATATTGGTCTAATTTTTTTTTCTCTTTTCCTCTCAGCTCAGTGGCAGTGATCAGCAGCAGGTGTACTGTCCCTGGTTCTCTTCTGTCACTGGGCTCGGTTCTGATCGGTTCAGAATGGCCCATTTCAGGAGTTATATCTGGGACCCGGTGCTGATTGTGTCACAGATCATCCTCATGCAGTGCATCTACTACAGCTTCCTGGGTCTGTGGCTCGCCGGAGTCGATGGTCTGGTCCAAACGAGTCGCTCACTCAACCAGATTTTCAGCTACGAGGTGAGGCTGGAGTTTTTTTTTTTACATTTGCATTATTATTGAGTTGATCTTTAATACAGTATATTAACATTTGAATTGGGATTATGATACTTTACAAAGATCACTGCATTGCCAAATCCGGTTCTTTCAGTGTAGTAATGAATCTTAAAAATTTAATTATAGCATATAGTATATTCATGTGTTTATATTTATACATAATTTAGTTTATTTTTGCAGGTCCTGAGTTTTGCTACGATGCAGGGGAGACTGTCAATGATGGCATTCATATTAAATTCGCTCACCTGGTAAGAACACTATCCACTTTTACTTATTGACCACTGCTTACTGCATCATCTGCAGTGCCTTAAACTACATTAACAGTAAGCTTGTCCTTCTTAAAAAACATAACCTATTTCAAAAGCATTGTTTAATGTGTGCTGTTGTACCCCCTGGATTAAATCAATCACTGATAAATACCTCCTTGTCAACTCCCATTCTGGTCAGATGTCGGAAGTTAAGCAGGGCTGGGCCTGGTTAGTTTGCCCTGATGAAGGCCTAAGGGCCGAAATGCGTTGGTATGATTTGAACTTTATCTGCCATGTGGTATTAAAGGCTTTTAATTATTTTGTACTTTTTGAGTGCCTCATCTTTTTCAACTTTGTATTTGAGACTGGTCCCTACAGTGAAGAGCACTAAAAGGACAATTTTGCAGAATCTCTGTACATCCAAGTAGCACTCCTGCTCTTTAAAATTTTGCTGGGCCTGGTTAGTACTTGGATAGGAGACTTCTGGGAATACCAGGTGCCACAGTGGCTCTAGTGCTAACTTCACCCATCTCTTGAATATGGAGTGAGTAAATATTGCAATGTTAACGGCCTTTGGGAGTCATGAGATGCAATACTGTATTTTTTGTAAATACCTTTATTGTTATATATTTTTTGTCCTCAACATGATCTTGTTTATGAGATTCTGAATTCATCTTGCCACTCACAGATTAATTTAAATAAATAGAAATTTTATGTAATTTCTTTTTTTTTTCTTGTCCCACAGCGCTCTCGGTCTGTGGTTCTTCATTCGGCGTGGAAAACAGTGTCTGGACTTCACCGTCACTGTTCACTTCTTCCACATGATCGGCTGTTGGATCTATAACTCCCACCTGCCCTCCTCTCTGGCCTGGTGGCTTGTAAATGTGGCGTGTATGGCTTTAATGGCGGTGATTGGAGAATACTTGTGCATGCGGACTGAGCTCATGGCAATACCCGTCAACACAGGACCCAAATCCAATCTCTAAAAGCCCACAGACTTCAATGTGAACAAGTATTTTCACTGAAAGAGTATTACGAATGCCCACAAGTAGCGTGCCATGCTAACTGTTGGGTATTTTCTGTTTTGATAATGATGAGATGGACTTCTATTTATTAAAAGCTGTCGGTGAACTGTTATTGAAAAGAATCGGACAATGTTTTTTAAGGGAAACCAATGGAGAGACAAAATCCTGTGAACATAAGAACTTTACACAAGGTGTTTTAATTTGTAGTTGTTGCAAGCTTTCATGTTGGTATTTCTATGGAGGAATGGTTTTAGAGATTCTTTTTTTTTTTTTTTTTTTCCCAACTTGATGGCTTTCAGTAACAGTGGAAGTTGTGGATGGAATTAATAAATAGGCCACTTTATTAGGTACATGGTTCTGAATGCAAGTATTGAATCAACAAATTATGAAGGTAATTCAGTGCATAAGGACTTGTGACACATGTGCATCAGAATGGAGAAGAAATACCAAAATTGGGACTAAACTGGGACCAAATCTGGACCTAAACCAGGACTAGAACAAGACTAGAAAAGCGTCAAAATAAGTCTACATCAGGACTAAACCAGGAAAAGTGTACACCCTAAGGTTTTGGTGGTTGTTTCTATCAAGACTAAACCAAGCACGATTAAACTAGGTAAAACCCAGGATTTTATTTGTCTAAACCAGAACTAAACAAGTTCTAACCCAGGACTAAACCAGGTCTAAAGCCTGAGCCATCTAATTGAAACTGACCGCTGCAGATATGAACTATTATCGGAGGTGGATTAACCTGGTCTTAACCAGGATTGTAGCAGGTCAGGTCTATGAGGGCAGTTCAATGCATAAGGTCTTAGAAACTGTTTAGCCACAGTGTTATTCTATTTTAGACCCAGTTTGGTCCATGGTTAGACTTGTTTTAGATCTAATCTGAACCTATTTTCTTAAGGTGCCATTTTGTGTGAAAAGTTTGAATAATTTTGATAATTTACAAATAGAATGTGGCCCAATAGACACTGGACTAAAACCGGACTAAAACCGGACTAAAACCGGACTAAAACCGGACTAAAACCGGACTAAAACCGGACTAAAAGAGGTCCACACCAAGTTCTTCTCTACCATATGTTCAGTTGATAGATTTTTGCATGTAGAAGAAACCTTTAAACATATGTACCTATAGTACGTGGCCAGAGAGTGAATGACATTTGTGGAGTGACCCATTGAAATACTGTACAAACTACATCATGACAAAGCTTGGTATTTTGTTTATAGCATTATATAACAGTGTCAGTGATGACAGGTTTCATTCTTTATGCATTTGAAAATATTGGGACACTACAACAAAGATTTTAAATAAGAGAAACTATAGAACATAAACAACATTGTAGTGCTGCATGAGTAACTGCGATCAAAATCGTAATTTTATTAGATGCAATTAACAAATTGTAAATCTGCATATTTTTAAGTACCATTCTTCCACACACAAAACCAAAAACTCTATTTTGTAGAAAAAGCTGCTAACCCTGTAGTTTAGATCTATACAAACATGTTCTGAAATATGATTCTTGTATTATTTTATCACTTCATATTTCAGGTATTTTTGTCAAATTCTGTCCAAATGTGAACTTTGGACAGAATTTTATTATTAAAACCTAAATTGCTAATCACAATGACCATGCATGTCAGAAAAATGTATTCAAAATGTGATTTAAAATGCAGATAATTTGACATTTGACATGCTTAAAAAAATGTGCATATACTTATTAGATGCAGAGATTGAGACTTCCCTCACCCCAGCCACTTCCTTTTGGTAATTTCAATAGCAAATTTCAAATGTATTTTTGATCAGTAACACTTGTTTAACCAGCCTTTTGTTTCTCTGGTCTAATTTATGGACTTCAGCTTCCTGTTAATAAGCACCACTTTTGGGTTGCTATGGTAACAGTGCTTATTTTTCCGCTGAAACCCCTGCATGGAAAGTATTTCTTTTTAAAAGGACATTATTTATACCATGTTGTGTATGTTCTATGTGTTGCTGTCACATTTGCAAATTTCAATTTTGGTGTGCCCAAACCAGTTGAATTTGTTCAAATATGTAACATCTGCAAATATTTTCTGTTATAAAGGCCTTTTGGAGCTCATTTGCACAGCTTTCTTTGCTCATGTCCGTATGTTGTTTTATGATGAATTTTCTAAACATGACCACTCTTGAGACATCAACTCATTTTTCCTGCATTTATTTTCTTTGTCTAAAGTTAAAGGAGCACTATGTAACTTTCTGGTTGGGAATCTCCATTGAAAAAGTTAATGCTTTGTTTGGAATGTTCCATAGTCGTTGATCTTATCTTGGATTTATTCAAGTACAGATGATTCTATTGTTTAAAAAAATCAATGTGCAGTGTCACTTCTCCACAGATGAGATGTAAATTCTGGAAAGAAGCACTGCCTAAAGCACTGCCATCATGCCATACAATGGAACATTCTGGACTATGCAATTTCAGTGTCAGTGAACTCCTTCATTTGACCATATCTAGTCCATGGTTTGAAGGCAGTCAAATCTACCTCCTCAGAGTAATACTTTCTGATGGAACTTGACTTCTAGATGGTAGTCAAAATGTTTGTATTTCAAAAACATTGTCCTGGTGTCTCAAGATAACAAGGGCTGAGCAGGCAGTAAGCACAGAAATTGTCTAACGGGAGCAAAACACAAACTTCCTGAAACTCAGTCTCTTCCTGTCTCTGACTACAGACCTGCTTTAGTCTCATCTCTGAAAATCTTGATACCCAAATCTCAGAGTTTTGGAGGGAACCACTCATTTTCATGTTAAATTGTCTTTTTATACATTACAAACTTAACATAGAAAGTCACGTATAGAACATTTTTGCACATACTCGCACTTCATAAATGAGACCCAAGATGACTGCCTTTGCAATCAATTAAAAGGACTGACAGAGACTAATCAACCTTAACGTGCTACACATTTAATTAACCAGAGATCTTTGATCCCCAAGAATCCCCCTCCCCAACCTTGCCCATAGTGCAGATGGTGGTCAGAGGGGCAGATGATTCAGATAGTCTACCCCAATGCAGCTGTACTATTAAAGGTTCTATATTACACAAAACTGACTCTTGTGAGCTTTAAGTCATGTTATAATGCTGTTACCTCATCAAACACATACAAACATTTGTTTCATTCACATGTTTGAGTAATCCTGGTTCATTAGTCTGTCCGAAGCTCTGTTCCACCTTGTGATTATATCAGCCAATACCAGTGCAGCGTTTGAAAACAGTAGACTCTGCACTGTGATATTTTTGGAGCTGACTATGACCAGTAAATAGTTTTATTACATCAACTTGTATTCAATATCTGCGCCGATATCCAATACCAGTATTGTATCGGTGCATCCCTACTTGTGATGTCATGTAGTGGTAATTTTCAAGATTTTCAACAGCTCCTTTTACCTTTAGTTCAGTAGAGATTGGCAATTCCAGGGCTGAAATTATCCAGTTGATTCTAATGAAGGTGTATGGAGTTTAAAGGGACAGTTTGGAATTTTGGACATAGGACCTCATTTCCTAGTGAGTGTTGGAGACATGTGGAGACACTTTTTTAGAAATTCCATCCAGTCCTTGTATTTGCAGAGGTCGCTGGTGCTAGGCTAGTGCATGTCAATGGCCACAGTTATCCTGTCACTAAAAACAGTCTTACCCACTCCACAAAACACCTGAAACAAATCTATTATTACACCAGACTGTCAATTTAAATGTTTGAGTTGACAGAATAAAGTCTGAAATAAAAATAACCTTGCATCACATGAATCATTGCATGTTGAGGGACTATATTGTCATATATCAGTCCGCCGCTGCCAAGCTTTCTATCAGGAAGTACAACTCGCTGCTGCTGCTCAGACATAAATCCTTCAAATGCAAGATTGTTTTTACTTCTAAAATTATTCTATCAACACAAATATTTATATGGACAGTCTGGTGTAATAATAGATTTTCTTCGGGTGTTTTGTGGAGCAGGTAAGACTGTTTTTAGTGGCAGGATAACTATGGCCATTGACATGCACTAGCCTAGCACCAGGGACCTCTGCAAACACAAGGACTGGATGGAATATTTCAAAAAGTGTCTCCACACGTCTCCAACACTTAACACTCACTAGGAAATGAGGCCCTATGTCCAAAATTCCGAATTGTCTATTTAAAAACACAGTGGAGGACTTACCACATGGCATCAGAGGGTCAAAGAGTCTTTTTAGTTTGAAAGAACAAGTCAGCTTAATTATGCAGTGTTTGTGTGTGTTGAACATGTGCGAATGAAACAAAAACAAAATACAACTTCAGGTCCATTTGTGATGAAGAAACTACATTAGAATATAGATCAGAAAATAGGGGCCATACGATAAATGTATTGTTATTATCATTATTACCTGAGGTTAGAAACTAGAGGAGGACCAAAGAAGAGATTTATAGATGTAGTGAATGGAGCTTGAATTTAACTGGTGTGAGAGGACTTATAAAAGTATCATGAAGCGGATTAAAGCAGTCAGGAGATGTTAGCTATTTAAAATAGCTTTGTAATGTGAGGTTATTTGCAGGTTCTGACCCGGGGCTCATCTCCAGGTGCACACAGACAGATGGGACTGGGATAATGAGCGCAGATCTTATTATAACGAGAGTTTTGCTTAAGGAAAAGCTCCAATTAAACCAAGAATTCAACTTGACAATTTAATTAGTTATTTTGAAATGTTGCTATGTTGTGTTTCTGCATTGATGAATTTAATATCAGAAAGGGCACCAGAAGAACAGTGGTCTCCTCACTGCCAAAAGGTCTCCAGTTCAATTTCCAGATGTGGAGTTTACAAGACGCCTGATTGAATATGTTATTTTTTGTCATTTTAACCAGGACTAAAGCAGTTCTAAAGCGTCGGAAACACATCTCAAGAGCTGTACTAAACCAGAACTGAACCAGGTCTAACCCAGGACTAACCAAATCAAAACCAAGGCTAAACCAGGTCTTCGCCAGGTCTTCGCTAGGTCTTCACCAGGTTTTCTCCATGTCTTCTTCAGGTCTTCACCAGGTCTTTACCAAGTCTTCACCAGGTCTTTGTCACGTCTTCTCCAGTTTTTCACCAGGTCTTCTCCAGGTCTTCGCCAGATTTTCGCCAATGAGACTTTTTAAACTCAGGGCACTAAACCAGACTGTAAACAAACTCAACTTCCAAGAAACAGCTATTTATAATTGTGATAAAATGTCATTGTTGTTGACTCAGACTAAGACTAAGACTTGAAAACTAGACAAAAATTAAGAAGAAATAAAAAAAAGTAATAATAATAAAAATGTCAAGATTATGGCTAAAATTCAATTAGAACTGTCTTGTCAAAATGAACACTGCTCCTATATCCCATCCATAAACTGCATCTGCTGCTTGGTTCCAGTCAAATGAAGCTCACTGAGGCTTGCGGTTACAGGGAGAACAGGCAGAGTTCCATATTAGGAATAGGGCTGGGTATCATTATGAAGTTGCTGATACGATACATACCTCGATACATAGGCCACAATACGATACATACCTTTATACAGTGCCCGTTTGATTCAATATGATGTATTTCAAATTGATTCGATATGGTTCAAGAATAATAAAGGCTAAATCATGACTGTGATACAAGAAGTCTTTGTTAAACTACTTCTTGTGCAAGGTTAATGCTAAACACAAACATTTTAATCCTCAAAACAGTGAAAATGTCAAATGAGTCGCTAAACGAGTTCTTCATTTAAACAAGCAACAAAACTGTGGCTCTGTAACAAAATAATTTAGTAAAATATACCAAAAAATACTCTTGGCGATATATTGATACAGCTGCCCATGATTTCGATATTGTATCATCACATTAAACTATATGATATATTGATATTTTGATATTTTTGCACACCCCTAATTAGGAGTAGGAATTTTATCACAGCAAAAAAGTGAAAAACATTTAAGACCAGTTACAGAGAAGGGAGAGCATTTTTCAATACAAACTGAACTGGAGTCAGAGTCAATGGAGCCAGAAGTGCCCATGCTCACTTCCTATTTGGAACACTGACCAGATGACTAGTTAATAGATGCATCACGAATTTCGGACTTCCGGGCATCGCGCAATGCATACTGGGAATGATTTCCCGAAAAAGTGAACATCAAACCGCTATGTTGGTGTCTATTGTCAAAGCCAGTCTTTTCAAGTCTTTTGAACCATATCGCTTTTGTTTCTGGTTCTGATACTGTCATATTTTAGTTATGGGATTTGGTCATCGTAATTGTGTGGTTATTGGATGTCCTAACAGCAGAAAACGGCTCGGGAAATGGGCTTCGGAAGTTTGCGAACTCCATAACTGCAAAAGGGAATCAGATCTGTGTGACTACAAACCTCAGTTCAAACTGTTTCCCTTCCCAATGGAACTGAAAAATAGTGAAAGGTGAAGGGCAGTATTGATCCACAGGAAGAACAAAAAATATAACCTTTGGCTGCCTAAGAAATCATCCCAAGTTTGCAGTGAACATTTTGTATGTGGAGCACCATCAAAGTGAAATCCTGTTTGTTAAGCGAGAGGTGCAGAAGACAAGCAGGCTGAGCTCGCACTTTCTTGTTCTTGTGGTTTTACAGCAACATCATGTCTTGGTCACTTTGCAGTAGAAGGTGTTTCTTTGTGAACAACTGGTGCCTTTCGCTTCGGCATTGACTTTTAAAATTTGTAACCAAGGTTGAGCGAGGGATTGGAATCCCACTTTGATGACGCTCCACATACATAATGTTTGCTGTAAACTCGGGTTGATTTCTTAGGCAGCCAAAGGTTAAATTTTTGATTCTTCCTGTGTATCAATACTGCCCATCTCCTTCACCTTTCACTATTTTTCAATTCCGTTGGGAAGGGACACTTTGAACAGGGGTTTGCAGTCACACACATCTGACTCCCTTTTGCAGTTGTGGAGTTCGGAAACTTCCGAAGCCCGTTTCTCGAGCCTTTTTCCTCTGTTATGGCATCCAACAACCACACAATTACAATGTCCGAATCCCATAACTATAATATGACAATATCAGAACCAGAAACAAAAGCGATATGGTTCAAAAAAACTTGAAAAGATCGGCTTTGTCAAAAGACACGTCCTGCAGGGAAAACAAACATGGCTGTTTGAAGATCACTTTTTCGGAAAACCATTCCCAGTATGCATTG